TACATTGTATATATATATATATACATTATATTTCAATCTAATTCTGTCCGAGCCCAACCTACGGCAGCATTAGTGGTGCTAATGAGCAGGCTAATAAAAAGCTCCAGGGAGGCCAGAGAGACACTCCACCATCCATCGACACGTCAGACTGTAAACATATACTGTGGCACAAAAACATGACAATGTGCATCATGCAGCTGAGAACATTAAGAGTGGCGTGGAGCGGGGTCACCTGTCAGTGTTCTCCCGTCCCACCTGACCAAGATGCAATCAGATTTAGCCTGCTTTGACCACTGTTTTTTTTTCTTATAGCCACAAGCAGCCAGTTCCTGACTGATGGTGCAGACACTGGAGATTACATCAAATAACGACTCTGTCTGTGACAGCTCAGACAGTCTGATTCCCAGACTTACCCAGAAACTCCAGTTCCACTTATTGTCCCCAAGACCCTCCTTGCCACTCCAGTTTTTGCATAGTCATGAAACTCAGGACAGAATTTTATAAATTTCCCTACCATGTTGAATTATTATCAACAACTATTAACTGTCATTTAAATATCTAAAGTGACAGTAATGGTGCTTTTAAACTGTCTGCTACATCTGATAGTAATGCTAAACATGTACTGTTGTTCTGCCACCAGCAGTTGATTTTAGAACAGTAGCAACCACTACTACTGCAGCTGTTGCCTTAACTGACATTGTCAGCTTCCATCCCTTTTGTCACATCAATGTGCAGGCAAACACTGACAGGCAGCTCTTATCTACTCCCCAAATGCCCTTGCTGTTGCATTATCTGTAGGTATTCTCCGTATTACAGCTGTTTTGTTTCTGCTTTTGTTTCATTTAGTAGAGTTTTTCTAAGATCAGTTTACCATTAACGATGTTAGCCACTATACATGTTGTATAGGTGTATGACTGTATGCTTGTTGTCTTAGCTAATGGGTCGCTAATGCAACATTCTAAAGTCTAAAACACATCACTACACAGCACGACATATGACGTGAGTCAAGCGCCACTACTAGCACAGATAGGAAGCGTTGCACTGCCACTATTACTACTATTATTACGACTACTATTATTGCTATTGCTATCATACTAAAACTGATGGCACTAAACTAATAAAATGACATTAGCTTAAAATCATGTGTGGACACCTCTATGTAAACTCACCTGGAGAGCCAATCTCCAGATCTGTGCCTCGCTACGCAATGAATGTCCTGGAGAGCCAATCTCCAGATCTGTGCCTCGCTACGCAATGAATGTCTTTTATGCCAATGTCTATATAATGACAGGATTGTGGGTCATATGACTCAGGATATTTCTAGATCTCAGTAACTAATCTCTCCTCATACACTGTTATACACATGAGCATGAGATGAGCAGAGGGCGGGAGCATCGACACAGGCCTGATGACCTGGTGAGCTATGGTGGCAAACCAAAGAAAGTTGAGCCATTATCAACTCAGACAGCAGCATGAAACAGTCACCTCTCTCCATGCTACTGCCTTGGCACATTCACATTGGACATAAAGGTGGCCGCGGTAGGAACTGCTCGCTGTTCAAAAGTGTCTTTGTAATTTCATCAAAAAGAAAATCAGCTAACATGTACAAAACCCCTCCATTTTGCTATTGTTTTCTGTTAGCTTGTAGACTACTGCAAAATCCACCCAGGCATTAAAGAGTGGCACGATTTTAAATGTCATTGCCAATTTTCTAGTCACTGCAAGTACTACTTAGGCTGTATAATTTCTTCTGCAGCTTTGTAGGGAGAACATCAAAGACAAATCAGAGAAAATACACAAGAAACACAGAAAGTCTGCACTACTAACCAGGGGCGTGGATACTGAACTTACTAAGCATTAAAATAGAGCTAGATTATTTGATAGAAATTTGTCAACCCTCAGAGATTTCTCTATGCCTTTTACACAAAGATAGCGTTTTCCCTTAATATATTTGGTAAGGCCATTGTGGCCAACGTTGCACATCAGTGAGTAGAAGTGCTTTAAGGCGATATTTGATTGACTGGATTGTTGTATCTAGGTCTGTTGTGTATATAAGTCACTGGATAAGACAAAACACAGACATTCCCATCTGTTTATTTTTCTGTTAATAGTTTCTTGAGGATTATTTAGGGGAAAGGGGAAATATATTCACTTTGAACCACATAAATGCTTAAATTTACATATATCACATTAATGTATGTTGCCTGGTAAATCAGTTATTTGTCAGTCCTATCTTGGACAAATAATTTGGGCAACGGCCAATGTTTCGGGGCTTCTAGTGGAAGTTTGGGCCAAGACTTCTGTCATCATTTACTCTCCAATTAGCAATCAGAATGGAGTTCCATTACATTACATTTTGGGTAAGCTCTACAAACAGATATCTGAATATGAATGCAGATACATTTTTAAAAAGCTAACTCATCGTCAGGCGACAGCCGACATGTTCTGAGATTGCATTTCAGCCAATGTGTTTGGCCTCTTTTGCTTTTCACACCAAAGCCTGCTCAAATGTGATCAATACCACTTGGACTACAACAGAAACCGGAGCGCAGAGCTTCTGCATTCATATTGGCATGACCAAAAGAGTGCTGTGTCCTGAACCATCCCTTAGTTATGCTGCCATAAGCCTTGACTGCTGGGGGACTTTCCTTGCCACTGTCGCCAAGTGTTTGCTCATGATGGGAACTGTCGGGTCTCTGTGAATAACTTTATAAGGAAAACATTAACAATTGCCTTCTAACAATCAAGAGTTAATATTAGTCACTAGTATAGTAGTTAATATTAATAGTAACAGTAGTAATAGTATAGTTGTGTAGACTTTACCCAATTTCTTTTAGAGTGTCATAGCTGGTAAACGTGCTGAAATCTACCCAAACAAACAAAGTGAGTGCAAATTGTTACCTCACGTTTACTCAGTACATTCTATGGGTTGTTATCGACAGTGCAGATATCTGTTTAAAGAGATTATTTATTTGTACCTAAAGCTCTTGTTTTGTATTTGTCACAGTATGTCCTGCCAGTATATTTTCAGTACACTCTGTTGCCTGTACCAAGACTCTATAACAGTAACCAATTTCAACCTTCAGCACCTGATGATGCAAGCAGGGGCTGAGCAGTAGCAAGCAAGACTCAATAAAGTCTTTTGAACATCCATACCATTTAAAACTGTCCCGATGCTGCTCAGCCCACAGTTGCCAACAGAATTTGAGTGGTCTGCCACTGACTTACGTTCTGTAGTACACTGCATAAGCATTCAGTCTGAGACAAGGGTAAGAATTAGGCTGACACTTGTTGAAATGGTCCATAAGTAACACAGAATAATAGCAATAATAACAGAACTTTATACAGAAGTTAGAGAGATATTTCACCTCTATAAAATAGAGGCAGCAGAGTGACGATGTCCTTGGTCTCATTCCCAACTTTCTTTAACAAGGTAAATACTGCAAAATCACAGGATTTTAATCATGCTTGCCGTCACACATCAGGGCAGTAACTCTGCAGTGATACAGAACCTTCTGATACTGTGTTCATATTTCATTGTACTATCATGGTATTGGAAATGTAGCTACAAGGACATGCCATTTTAGCCTGTCAGTCACCAGTCAGTCAGTTGGTCAGTCAGTGACACCCAAGCAGCCTGCCAGCCAGTCAGTTCCCTGACATACAATGCACCTCGACAAAATAATGGTATTTTAATGTAGATAGATAGATAGATAGATAGATAGATAGATAGATAGATAGATAGATAGATAGAAATTCCATGTTTTTTATTAGGCTTGCTGTCACACTCCAGGGTAGTAGCTCGGCAGTGATACAGAACCTTCAGATACTGTGTTCATATTTTATTATACTATCATGGTACAGGAAATGTAGCTTGCAGCCTTGTCCAAACTAAGGTGATCCTAATGTGTCACTACTACCACGACTATTACTATCGTAATAATAATAATTCAAACGTTGAAAGAGGTGCACTTGTCGAGCCTACGGGAAGGCTGCTCCATAGTCAGTCTGGGGGCGTATGAACCAAATGCAGCATCACTGCGAGGCTTTAGTCCTGGGGCGAGGAACAATTACTGTGAGAGAATCAGTGGAACACAGTGATCTGACAGGGACAGGCTGAACTGGGGCCATTCATTTCCTAATAGTGATGATTAAATGGATATTGTGTCTAAATTGTGTTAGCATTGAAGCACATGCTCATATTTGGGTAGTTGTCATTCACTGACATCTATAAACACCGTGGCTCTCCTCACTCTTTCATTATCAACGTGTTTGACTGATGATACACGGACGATGAAGCTGTATGAATCTTTGCATACAGCCCCACAAAACTGCCGTACACACAGGCATTATAATATCCTGTGGAGACTGCAGTGTCTGTGGCTGCAAAAAAAGAACAGGGTAAACAGGGTGAGGTGAATACAGATTCTTAATATCAAAGTGCATGGGTTTGTTCAGGATTACAGGCTGCCTGGCTCATTGTTGTGTGGCATCTCAATATCTCTGATTATTATGATTATGATCAATGATAATATTTATTTGCATCATTAGTTTAAACTGATTGTGGTAGTCGGTGTGTTTGCTTGCTCCCAGGCCACAAGGAGTTTACATGTTCCCCAGAAAAAGAGCTGCCAGATGCCTGACCATCATCTGTCAGCAACATCCACCTCTCTGTGCTGCCCCTACTTCAAAACCAGACGCACCAACAACAGATACAACCTGACTGACTGAGAGCATTGATTCATCGGCTCTAATAAATGTTATTTTAGACAGTCAGTCAGTGGCAGCAATAACCAGCTGACCAGTCAATCAATATATCAGTCAACCAATATAATCAATCAAATAACACAATGCCAGCCAGTCAGTTCCCTGACATACATTTGCACCTCTACAAAATAATGGTATTTTAATGTAGTCGACAGTCAGACATAGACAGACAGACAGACAGACAGACAGATAGATAGATAGATAGATAGATAGATAGATAGATAGATTTTCACCTCTACAAAATAAAAGCACGGCAGCAAAGTGACGCTGTCCTTGGTCTCATTCCCGCCTTTCAGCCGCTCCTTGGCACGAGACATCACGAGCGGCCGGTGGTCTCTCCCGTTACCGGGAGACAGGGAGCTGTACTTGATTCCCGTCGTAATTTTGGCGAAATTTTGACCGAGTCCGGTTCCCCCCCTTAAAAAGCCCTTTAACGGTGGACCTCCATCCCCTCGGCGAGGTGAGCTCGAACTGTCGTCGCCTGTTACCGTGAACTGTCCGCGGTCGCCCCTAAAATGCGGTTTTTTGGGGGGGCTTCAGAAAAAGGTGCAGGCGCAGGACTGCCACTGTCTCCCCCAGAAGCGTTCGCCCTGTGTGCTGACATTAAAGCGGGAGCGAGAATTCATCCGGGCCATGAAGATGTGTGGTGCGTTCAGGGGGGAAGATTTACTCCAGTCACCCCCGGGAGCCTCACTCACTGATGTTCGTCCTCTCACTCTCTCCTCCAGCTCCGCTCTGCTGCAGCAGGTGACTGCCGCCAAGTTGGCCAATGGAACCACTACCATTTCCTGTCGCGGTTTCCAAAATAAAACACGTTTTTACTATATCTATTTCTCTCTTGTTTCCTGTTCAATCAAACATTCGGACGGACGTTTGAAACAACAGTTGTGCGAACCTAGCTATCCTTTTCTAGAGGAGTTTTGAGTTTTTATTTTAATACTAGAATTACACTACAAAAATAATAACACAAACATCTGGTCTGTTACGGTTAATTTCCGCTAACTTGACGCATATCAGCAGATGCAGGCGGCGGAGGAGAAAACTAAGAAGAGATAAATTTAAAGACGTCTCACTCTGTTCCTATTTCAGTTTCATATGGCGACTTGCATTCACACACTTTGTTGTGAAGCCTTTTAATTGGGAAGGCTTTTTGCTAAAGTACATGGGTGGATGGAAGAAAAATCTACCGATAATGTGACAGTTATATTATTATAAATGTTGGGGATAATTAAATTACAGCCAATACATTATCTGTCCCTAATAATAATAATTTATTTTGAATTCTTATGCAAGATAATTGATATACTTTATGTTCTATGAAAACCAAAGTCTGTCTGTGAAGTTTTTTAAAAGAACTTTACTAGAAAAAAAATGGAACATTTGAAGAGTTAGATTTGGTTAAGTCAGAGCTGTGGAATATGAAATCATCCATCTATGCTCTCCGTATCTTAGCTTTTCTTACCATCAGGTGTGTAAAACTAGAGGTTATAAACTACTTTTTGAAATCCAAAAAATCTGAAATTATCAGCCATGAGAAGCAGGTAATTATCGGTTATCGTATCAGCTGAAAATAAAATCAGTATTGTGCATACACTTGTTATCTTGTTCATTTGTTCTTTAATGAGATATTTCAAAACAAATTCCTAATTTAGACAATATTAGACCATTTTATTTTGGCAAATCCCTGTTTGGCTCTTTGTGTTGAGGCAAACAAATGAATAACTTGGGTTTCTTTTGTTAAATTGGTAAATTTAACTAAACAACAGTACCAAACATTAAAAAGTATTGTTGTCTTATCAGTACTGAAACTCAGGAATCAGCATTTATTGGCTCAACTAAAGAATTGTAATGATTTGCTGTAGTGTGGACATGAGTTGAGAGCAGTCACTGAGTGGTGTCTCAGATTCATTTGGGTTATTTTCAGAAGGACGCAGTGGTGAAAGTATCCAATACTAGAATATAATATAAGGAAAAGGTCCCTTTAATCAGCCCTCCTGGCCCCAACAGTAAGAACCACCAATAAAAGCTACATTATGGACCTCGCTGTGAACAGTAATATCTATATTTTTTATTTTTCCCAAGATAAACAATGACTGTATATGAATATACAAACAAAAGGCGGATATAACAGTAATAAAGTTAAGAAAAATAATGATGGTATTTAAATAAATAGAATATATTTATATTTATTTGATAGAATTTTTTTAGAAAGGTGTGTGGATGTTTCAATGTTTACAAATTCATTTTTTGGGGGTGAACTGTTCCTTTAACACCCACCTCTTCAACCTGGCATTTAAGGTATGGATTTCACTTACAGAGTGATTCATCTTCTCAATATACAATCTTTGGAGGAAAACCAAAACCGATCGATGGGCGTGACGTCACACGTGTGCTAAAAACCTATTTTCCGCACGGGTAGCGCGCGTGAGTGTGTGTGAACGCCCCCTTTCAGCACAGCGGAGCGGGGACGGTATGTGGGGACGGTATGTGGGGCAGCAGCCCTCAGGACACAGAAAGCACTGTGCCATGTTACGGCCCTGGGCCACTGCCTGCAATATGTTGTCGGTGTGTTGATATGCTGCAAACATACATGTGATCGGTCCTGTCAGTTACCCTCACCTCCTCCGGTCATGAAGAAATAGCGAACAAGGGATGAATATGGTCAGCCTATGTAAGTTATCATTGTGTTTTTATATGTAATGTATGTATGTATAATGTTATCAGTGGGACTAAATGCCAAATATAGCCTATCGAAAAGCTTAAGAAATTAAATGAATAGATATTACCATATAATAATAATAATAATAATAATAATATACACTTTATATAGCACCTTTCATAATTAAAATGCAGTAAGTTATTTACAGGAGAAAATAAAATCAATAACATAAAACAATAGGCAACAGGTGATAAAAAATAAATAAAAACAAGTTAGTAATGATGAAAACATTCTTAAAGTACTAAAATACTTTTAGCCCTATTTTCTATAAATATATATAAATATAAAAACTATATAGACACATGAAAATAGACATTTCTTAATCATCAGCATCCAATATTTCAAACAGCTGCAGTAGGTAACTTTTATTAAAATAACTTTTTGTCATAAAACAATTCAGTTCCTCTGGTTCCTCGTAGTGCTCCAAATGGTATTTACAAGAACCCACCGGGCCTGAACGAAAACAACCAATCAGAGCTGAGAAAGATGGAAAGATGCTTTGGGTTGGAGGCCTGAACATAGTTAATTACTGAGTCTCATCTCCAGGTTGTAAAATATTGATGCTGGGAATGAGACTCAATAATCAACTCTTTCGTGGCTCTGATTGGTTGTTTTTTATTCAGGTCCAGTAATGTTTTGGTTAGGGTTATGTTTGTTTAGGGTTAGGGTTCTGATTGTTTAGGGTTAGGGTTCTGTTTGTTTAGGGTTAGGGTTCTGATTGTTTAGGGTTAGGGTTCTGTTTGTTTAGGGTTAGGGTTCTGATTGTTTAGGGTTAGGGTTCTGTTTGTTTAGGGTTAGGGTTCTGATTGTTTAGGGTTAGGGTTCTGATTGTTTAGGGTTAGGGTTCTGATTGTTTAGGGTTAGGGTTAGGGTTGGGCTGAATTAGGGTACTGGCAACTTTTTTGGTCCAGTTCAGGCACTGGTGTAAACGAATTATATCTTGTGCGCACGCAATAGCATTTTAACCATTCAATGTAGTAAAACATTCTCTCTATGGCCACTTTGGGGCTCTATATAACATATAGTAGGAGCATAACACTACCAATAGCACCAGAAAATTAGCATGTTACTGCAATGATCTATAATGATTTTTAATGTCACATTTAATTGATTTGATATAATCATCACTATCTGGTTTGATTTATTCATTTTATGTGGAACTGCAAACTTTCACTTCGGTGTACCACCTTGTGTATAATGATGAATAAAGGCTCCTGATTCCTTGAAGAGCAGCTCCTGTGTTGGTACAAAATGATACAGAATGTGGTAGAGCTGTCTGGGTAATTGTAGACAAATGTCGGTGTGTGCGTGGGGGGAGGGACACTTCCTAATTATATTGAATTATTCATCAAATATGAATAAATCCCTTCTGGCAACAAATGACAGGCTCTACACCAGCTGGAACATATGAACCATGTGGTCCATGTTTTGCAAAAAGATACAGATGGACTGAATTTCCTTTGATGTCGTTTTGTGGTATCACATTTTCTACATGTTGGTCAGCTGTTAGAAAGACTCAGGGTTTGTATTAAATACCTGGTGACACTGCAGGCACAAGTGACTCAGATCTGATGTTTTCATGACAGTGTGAACAGCACAAATCACACTGAATCTGATCTTTTTTATTCGGATTTGGGCCACTTTCGGTACGTTTAGATTGCGGGTCAAAAGTGGCAATCTGAACACCACAAATTAGATTTTTCGGATCCGATCCAGGCCACTTTCATATGTGGTCCTAAATCGAATACATATCTGATGTTTTTCAAAGTGACCTCAGTCTGAAGGGTCATGTCGCATTTCATCCAACTTTTACATCATTGAAGTGAGACAGACGTCACAATTCTGCACCGGAGGAGGAGGAACGTGGCAATATCATAATCATCATTATAATTTTGTCGGCTTCGATCGCACAAATAATTCAAAATTGATTGTGTGACGTCACGTCTTCTTCTGCGCATGCGGGTCACTTCGGGGCCATAGACTGTTCACACTGGAGTCTGATGGCGGTCACATTTAAATTATAATGTGAACAACCACGCAAAAAACACGGATCTCAGCTAAAAATCTGAATTGAGTGTTAAGACCTGCAGCTTGACCATAGCCTTTCATATCTGGTCTTTGCAATGTGACCTCATTATGAACAGTCATATCAGAATTCATAAGACTGTTACATCACTCTACATCTACCAACAGACCTGTTCACACTGGAATCTGATACGGGCCACATTTGAATATAAACAGGTTTGTGCAATAAATCAGGTTTGCAGGGTGAATGCAGTCTTCGGGGCCAATCACACAAAGATGCTAGAAACACGTCGCCTACAAAACCTTTGCATTTATTTTGTCTTGCACCATGCAGCGCCGTTTTCTAGCGGTTTTTAGACGTGCATAAAAGTTCAAATAGTCACAATTTTTCAGCACATGGTGCAGTCCCGCTACTCGTCAGTGTCACACTTGGCCCAGACAGCCGGTGAAATCAAGAAAATGGTGGGCTTTACTACTTCCTTCCTGTTTTGATGGCAGTAAATAGGTTAGCTAGTTAGCTGCTGGAATGTGAGAGTGCTACAGAGCAGGGGTGTAGTGGGGGGTAAATCCAAGTAAACTCAGTTATCAGTTATTAACATTATATTTGATTGCATCCATACTTGTAATAATGATAATGCATGGTAAATCAATCCATCCATAATTATTACACACAGTTTGATGGTTATGGTGTACTTTAAATCAGACCTGTTGTCCTCTTCTGACATTTATGAGCATTAGATTGTAGTTGCCAGTGTTGTCCAAAAACAATTCAAAACACGTCAGTGAGCCACACAGTTGCACTGGCTGACCATGATCACACACACACAACAGTAATTTATTTGGACTCAGTCACACTTACACCGTCCTGCTGACCCAAATACTTACTGGAGCACCAAATGGAAATGAATCTGCGAGTGAAAATAGTCCCCCAACAAATACAACAAATTGCTCCTGTTTGAGTAACGTTTGTTAAAAACTTTTTTACGAATGAACTTATATATATTTGTCTTTTATGTTTTCAGTTGGAAAAAATGGGCTTGGAGCCGAGAGCCACAGACAGAGAAGTCAGAAAGTATTTAGAGATGGACTAACACGTTGTTGTTTTTAGTATTTTCATGGGATTTGTTTATAATATGGAAATATAGAGTAATGTTATTCTTATCCTTCATTCCTCTCTCTGGTGTGGTACTGAATGAATGAAACAGATTTCAACTAAAGTCTAAATGAATATAATGAAAACTTTCTCTAGTTTTTGCCTGCAAAATTATCACACTAGTTATCAGTCCTAAAAAAAACCATCAAACAGATGATTAGAAATCAATTCAGTGAAGCAATCTGAAGGACAGGCATGTAAATCCATCTGAACACATTTTCTCTGTAAGTATCGCTCTTATGCTATACTATTGAAGGGAGCTGTAAACTGTGTACACTGCAACCTTTAAGCCTCCAAACACTAAAACCTGATGAGTTAGTTCAACTCAAACTGTTTGAGGAAACCAGTTGCCTTAAGCTGTTTAAATTTGATTTGAAAACAAGTAACTAATTTATTGTTAAGGAAAGGTAAATTAAGTTAATTGTATTAAAAGTAGTAAGTATATTACACTGATATGCAGCATTTCTCCAAACTTATTTAAAATGTGTTAACAGAATTTATCTGAATAAAGTAACATAAATGCATCTTCTTTATACAAATGTTACCACTTAAATTTACTACGTTTTCTTACACCTAAGCAAATCATTACATTACCTGTGAAAATAGCTGACATAAGATTTAAAAAAAAACAATTTACAATTAATTAATAATTATTAAAATGGTAGCAATTTAATTTTGGGACTTTGGGGTTTACATTTTGTAATGATATAAAGTCAACTTAAAGAAAATGAGTCAATGGAACAAACCAATACTTAAAATAGTGCACAATTTAAGTTCACTCAAAAGAGCTCACAGTTCATTTTTGAGGTGGGAATGAGTGACTCAATTTTTCTTTGAGGATTAACTTATGTTAGCTTACTTCTTATATTAAGATATGCTGTTAGGATGATTTATAGTGCAGGAATATTCTATGTATCAGCTGTATCTATAGTGCCGGGGTCATGTCATATTTATGATGGGATGCAGAGTTAATAATAATTCCACAATCTCCCACAATAACTGAATAAGAAGAAACTGCTTCCAGTCTTCATTGTCCTGTTGTGGTTTGCTTCCCAACACTCTGATTTGAGCCCTCTGTGATCTGTGCTGTGACTGTGTTCATACTGCTGGGCATTCGTTATGTCAGTGAGCTACAGAAGGTTTGTACTGGCACACATTACAGGTCAATACAACATGTATATGGAGTGAGAGAAGAAGAGTGAGACTGACCTGTGGTCTGATCCTCATAATGTCTTCATGGTAGAGATCCTGTACTCCTACTGTGTCACTGTATTCGGGTCTGCTTCAGCTGTTTTTCTGACTACTGCTCTGTTGTCACTTATAGATTCTGGGCCAGCAAATTCGTGCCAGTCCAATAGGGGATAATGCTCTCTCTCTCTCTCTCTCTCTCTCTCTCTCTCTCTCTCTCTCCTCATCCTTATCTTCCTCTGATTTACAGACACTTAAAGATCGGTATTACTGACGTTATCTCTGTCCTAAAAAAAGCATCTGCAGTGTTGCCTGTGGTAGGAATTGACCCCCGGCCATCAGGGCTGATTGACAAGCAGGTGCCATAAAGAAATATAATTTATAAATATATAAATATAAATAAATAAATAAGTAAATATACCATCCTGCTTTGCAAAACGTTGGAGGACTATCTTGATCTGTTAAACACTGAGTTAGCAGCTGGTTTTCACAGACTTCCTAAGTGTAAGTATGTTGGTGAATTGTTCCAGGTTCTCGCTCTTTTTAACAAATCATTTTTCTTGACAATACAGGACAACACTTGCTTACAAAGGGTCATATAAGCTGTGATTTTGGATAAGTTGACTACATTCATGTATCCTCAGCCCATAATTAACAGTTCAAATCTGGTATCATTTATCTTATTTAAGAGAAAATCCATCTTCTTGACAGTTAAAGTGTTCATTCACATACAGTGTTCATACACGTACAATTAACATCAGTGTGTAAATATGAGAATTTTGCTCACAGCTCTTGAAAAAATATACTTGGTGACGGAAAGATCACTGCAAGTGAGTTCCACTTTGCATGTCATCCAGTTTATCCTACCAACAGTAGAGTTACAAACTAAATACACACCCAGGTTTACATAGGCAAGCTGAGTGACGGGCTAAAATAGAAAAAAATTCCAGGACAACAGAGATTATTTCCAGGATATTTAGTCATTTTAATCAATTTCCAGGTGTTTCCATGACTTAGGAATGACTTATCTGTTTCACAAGTAAATAAAATCTCCTCAGAGCAATTACATAAATGGACTTCTCCTCCAGTTAATTTTACAGAACCTGTGAGCACCAATGTATCAAATGATCAAATTTATGATTCGTACTTGATATGTTATTCGATAGCCTAATTTTTCAAGTAATATTCATACTGGTTTAAATAGACCATTTTAAAATATATATTCTATTGCCCTTTAATCGATAGAAACAGCTGAAGAGTGACAGGAAAGGGGGAAGAGAGGGGATGACACGCAACAAAGGGACACAGGTCGGATTCGAACCCGGGGCCACTGCAGCAATCTGGGCGCCCCAAATAGACAATTTGATAGCATTTCCCATCTTTGCTGAGCAAGAGTTTTGTGGAGAAGGAATTAAACGCCTGTTCCATACAGAGGCCTGTTCCAAATAATGGCAGGTTGAGTTCAGTGATTGAAACAAATAAAAGCCCAGGCTATTCATTGATAGATAGAAAGTTGTATGGTATACATATGGAAGATAAATGGATATAGCTATGAGAATAAATGACTTTGTAGAAATTAATCAATTGTAATTTTAAAAAAAAGCTGAAATTGAATTGAACTGCCAAAAAGATAATAATAATAATAATAATAATAATAATAATAATAAATAACAATAACAAACTTTATTTCTATAGCTCTCTTATCTTATCTCTAATACAATACCATACAATACAATATGCGCAAAGATAGCATATGAAACCCCACAGTATCTTGTTTACTTATGTAATCAATTCAGGGAAATGTATACCCTTTATTTCATTTTATAATTATTTATGTTATTCCCAATTATCAGCTTTCCTTTATTAGTTTTTTTGTATAATTTTGTCACATTTTGTCTTCCCACTGTATATGAATGTGCCAGTATACTAGCAGCCTCAAAGCTCAACAGCGTTGAAATACAATGCTTCTAAATCAAACATGAACGTTTTTCAACTTCTTTGTATCGCCTCCGGTACCGCAGGGGGCAGTGTGGGCTGTTGGCGCGTATCTCGGCCGTCATATATACCACAGAAGAAGAAACAGCACTGGAGCCTGCTGGAGTGCTAGCAGCTAGCCTAGCTAACATATTAAAGTAACGTTAGAGTATTTAAAGGTTCTGAGCTTTTGGACTCGAACACCACACTAACGACAGCAATGGAGAAAACGTTCAGCCAGTGGAAGAAGCAGTGTCTGAACAAGCTGGACCTGAGTAAGAAGGGCAGTGTGGACGCGGACATTGGACATGTAGTGTCTCTGCTCAACAGCCGTGAGGAGTACTTCACCACCAGCTCCTGCTCCGGGAGAGTCATCCTCCTCGACGGGGTGAGAGAGACTCCACTCCGTTAACAGTTAGCACTGTGGCACTGTGGCACTGTGTGTGAGTGAGCTCGGGGCTGGATGCAGACATTAACGTGCAGGGATTCCCAGAGTGTGGGAATGAGACACATTACTGCTCCACTCCACAGCTAAAGTTGCATATCAGAACCAAACTAATACATTTGTTATTACACTTGTTATCCTTTCATTTTAATTGAATTAATCATCAGTAATCACTTCATGTGGCTAAACGTATTCAACATTTCAATACATGAAGGTATTGTGGAGGAAGTGAATCAGCAACATCCCATTACCAATCTTACTCCACCCTCTGAGTGCAGTTCACATCAGATGTCTCTAAAAAGGCCTGTATGATTCAAAAGGTTACCGTTGCAATCCGGTAAATCATTTTTCAAACAGAACGCCTTCCTCATACCAATCCCTCCTAAATATTGATTATTATAATGGTAATCACTCTATTGTTCCATGAGGAGAATAATTCTGAGGAAATATCATCTGTGGAGTTCTCCTTTGGCGTGAAAAATATAATAACATAATTATTTAAAATGATTGAAAGAGATTGTGTATTACCACAGCAGTAGTGTGGTATATTGGCACTGGTCTGAGTTCCCCGTCCTGTCTCCTCCCCTCCAGGCTCCAGAGAGCAGTGATGTCCAGAAACAGAACTGTGTTTGGCTGTTTGTCTCACACCAGAAATGCACATCTGATGACCTGGTGAGATTCAGTGGACCTATATACTAGTGAAACTTCATCTGATGATATGGGTTTAATGTTAAGAAGAGTGCATTGTGTTTGCTGTCCAGGTGTCCGGTCTGGCCAGGTCCAGCGGGGATGCAGTGTTGAAGTTCGAGCCCTTTGTGCTCCATGTTCAGTGTAGGCGACTGGAAGACGCACAGCTGATGGTGAGAATGACAGTTTCTGTGTCTGCCTGCATGGAGTGCTGAACTACTGCAGTGCTGATTTATGCACTGTGCACTCACACAACATAGCTCTACACTGCCAGTGGGAGTTCATGTCTGCTCTCTCACTGGCTATCATACAAAGCAATGTGCTACAGTCTGCCCCATTCATCCGTATAAGGGTTCATTCTTACTGATTGAGTTCAAAGCACCGTACCAGTGATTTTAACATCTTTAATCAGCCGTTACATGCACTTGACATTATGGTGAGCTATCTCTTAAACCCTACCATTCTGTTTATGTGTAGGCTGATGTCCTTCCTTCCTTCCAGTGAGCCATTGATTTCAGTGCAGTATGAACATGAACTTGCAGAGACTTGTAAGAATGACGCCATTATAAAACTAGAGATGTTCCAATACCATTTCTTCCTCGCTGATACAGATTCCTGAGCTTTGCAAATCAGCCGATGCAGAGTACTGGTCTGACACGTGTGTGCTAAAAAATAGATGCGTATACTACTAACCCTGTATGATTGCTGTCGGCGCTGTATGGCCTGGCTCAGGTTACACTTTGTTATTTTTTTTTAAAAAACACCTTTTTGCCCAAACCCCCAAAAAAAAAAAAAAAAGGGGGGGCCCCAAACCTTTTGGTTAAGATTTGTTTAAGTTACATTGGTTTTTTTAGGAAACTCCTGTTTAGCATGCCTTCAAATACACCTCATTAATTGTCTTATCTCCCCTCTAGCACTCAGTGGCCATCAACTCAGGCTTCAGGAACTCTGGTCTCACTGTCAGCAAGACAGGAAAAATCATCTCGGTAAGCTTTGTGACACCAACGACATTTCAGGGATTGTGGCAAAAATCAGTGGCGTTAGATTCCATTAAACAGTAAACTGTAAGGATGGGAGATACAAACTTTTTAATTTGATTGTTGTCCGATTGTTACAATTATAATGATACCATCTACAGTACTAGTCTAATACTAAAATGATTGATATTTTTAGTTTTTTTTAAAGATCACAAATGCAAGTATCAAAGTATGAATCCTGCAGGATCGATCCAACCATCTCTAGTAAACTGAACTTTGGACAGTCCATGCAGTAGAAATAGCCCTGTGCTTTGCTGCATGTGTTGCTTGCATATACTGTGTAAAAGGTGTATCCTTGCTGTGTTTTGTCCCCATAGGCAGTCCGTAGCACCCATGGCCTGGAAGTTCCTCTCAGTCATGAAGGAAAGCTCCTGGTTGAACACGAATACATACATTTCCTGGCTCAGATAGCCAATGAGAAGATGGAGGAGAACCTCAGACGGATCCACAGGTCAGTTTGCTATATGCTATCTCTCCTATTCATTAGCCACTGCACAAATACCCCTGCTGCAGGAAGCTCTGATTTAAATGTTTTTATTTTTCGGTCACCTCCAGGTTCTACCAGAATCTCCAGTCAGCTCTGCCTACAGAGAAGCTCCAAAGACTACAAATCCCAGATCCCCCCGTGTCCCAGGAACTACAAGATCCCCCTCACAGACTGGAGACAGAAAAGGAGAAGAACAAAACAACTGTGTATAAGCGGAGGCGGAAGAGAGAACAACACCAGCGGACTGACTGTTGCCATGGCGATGGGTCCAGCAGCCAGGTGCCAGACCTCGATGACTGTCTGGATCTGTTCACGTGAAGCAGTGGCTCTGCTAACACACTCCATCACTGACTGGATATTAGTGCCGCTGTCTTGTGGGTGTTTGAGTCATTATTCATTTTATTTGAGAGAGCTGTCACTAAGAAGATCACCATGGTAACCTACACTGCACTAACCTCTCTGCTCTGCAGCAGGTTTAAGTCAATAGATACTGACGAAACAGCTCACTGGAATAATGGATGTATCATTTCTACAGGATCCCAACATGGACAGAAGTACTGAGGCTACAATAAAAAGACAAGTAATAAAGACAACATAACAACAGGAGAATCACTCACTAAAAGAAACGTTCTGTCTCTTTTTAAAGGTTCACTGTGTAACATTTAGGAGGATCTAATGTCAGAAATGGAATATAATATTCATAGCTATGTTTCCGTTAGCATATCATCACAAATCAAAATAAAATAGTTTTCGTTTGTTTAGAATGAGCTGTTTTAGCCACAAGTTGCCTTCCGTCGAGTCGGCCATGTTGGAGTGCCATGTTTCTGCAGTAGCCCAGAGGAACAACACTGGCTCCAGATCGTGCCTTTTGCATTTTTCATGCATTGTGCGGCCACCGTAGTTTCTCGTTTGTGGTTGGAAAGGGCAAGGTGAAACGAGTGAGTCGCAATCTGCAGTTGCACTGCTAGATGCCACTAAATCCTACACACTGGACGGACAGAGTACAAGCTAAAACAGCAATAAACCGAGTGTCCACCTCTGTATTGAAGTAGATGAGTTTTGTTGCCATACAACAACTACAGCTCCCATGAGGCTTTGACAGTGCTTCTGTGGCTCATGGGTATGCTGCTGTTGGATGCTAACAACATAGTTTATCTCTTAAAATGACATGGTGCATACGTCAGACTGTTCCAAACAGGTTCTCATTTAGACATTAAACAAAACAATACCGTTTCTTTTTCCAGACCTGATATTAATTTACATGTGTTTCTTTTTTTCACCAATGGTTTCTAGGACTATATATTGGCAAGAGTCTCGCGATACGATATGTATCATGATAAAGGGGTTACGATTCAGTATATTGTGATATATTCACGTCACTGTAAGCAGGGTGATACATAGCTATTTAGAAACTGTAGGAAAACTGTCAAGAAAAGGTTAACAACACTGCTATCTAGTGTTTGGTGGTTTAAACACAAAAATCTATAGTGTTTTCGAGAATCAATAAAATATCACAAAACAAAATTTTGCCATACGATATTTTTTTTTATATTTTCTTACACCCTAATAGTTTCTATTGAGAGTATTTCAGAAATTATTCTCTTTCCACTTCAAAGACCTTTCTTGTCATTACTCATTATTTTATTGTAGATACATGCGCACATGATCTGTAAGAAGCAAGGAAAAAAATACAAAACAAAATAAAACTTGAATATAAAAAAATAGTACAGGGATGTTGGGAACGGACTGGAATAAAGACATGTTGTTAACAGCCCAAATAGAGATCACATTCATTGATTTCCTTTAGGTGACAATGGTAGGGAGGTTATTTAGCCTAGAAATATATAGAGATATCCGTCACAGTTTTAAGAAAGTCTTCCAAGTTATATAGGCAGTTCAGTTTGTAACCACTTTCTTGTTATTTGTCGGTACATTATCATGTTTCGTCTCAGAGATAACAATGTATGGGAACATACAGCGTCTGGCTGAGCTAGAGGAACAGAGGGAAACTTAAAGAGCAGCAGGGACTGCCACATATCAGACATTAGCTATGATATCAAAATGTGTAATCCTTGTTTCAGGAACAGCAGAACAAGATCAATCATGGCTAATGAAATATTGGTGATACATGGGCAAAGGTTACACAATTTTCATGTTTTCATCAGATGGCCCTCACTGATTGGCCCTGCCTATTGGCTCAGCTTCCATGTATGTAGATACAAAACAAAAATGTTGTAGCTGTCACACAAATTGTTTTCAGACGTCCCCCCCAACTGTACAATCTGAGACACAATAATATGGTAGTCTTATTAGGTGTGTGCCTAAATGTGTCTCACAGCGTGTAATGTCATAAAATAGGCTGCCACCAGAGGGCAGCAGTGCTTATTGTATTAGAGCTCACTGCAAGCTGTGTGGTTTCTCTGTGGATTCATTTTGTATTTAGTGATGTTCACTGGGATTGAACTGATCTGTAGTGTACCTGTAACAGAGGTAGTGGAGGGTGATCCCAAGACGTGTCAGATCACAAACTCAGTATCTGACAGACATTTAAAGTGACATTTAAACTTTTTTTCTTTTTTTTTTTAGAATTATGCACACTCCAAACAAATACGGAGCAACGTATCACTAGAAAGTTGGTTTGTCCACCCCTAACATAAGAAACAAGAATGCACAGTCCATAGGTCTCTCTTTCAACAAACAGCTAACCTAACCAACATATTAAAGGTCCAGTGTGTAACATTGAGGAGGCTCTGTTGTCAGAAATGGAATATAATGTTCATAGCTATGTTTTCATTAGTGAATAACCACCTGAGATAAGAACTGTGGTCTTTTTCTTACATTAGAATGAGCTGTTTGTATTTACAGATGCAGCGTGTCGTCTTGCTTGGAAGCCGCCATGTTGAACCGCCATGTTTCTACAGTAGCCCAGAACGGACAAACCAAACACTCTAAATAGGGCCGTTTTTTTGCAGCTACCATAGTTTGTGCTGTTTGCACTTGGAAGGGGAGGCAAGCAGTTGCTATCTGTAACTACACTGCTAGATTCCACTAAATCCTCCACACTGCTCCTCTAACACAATGTGTGACATTATGCAGTTAGCTGGTCCGTGTATGTTTTGGTCATTGGATTTTCCTTTCAGAAACGGGTATTAAAAAACAGAAAACGAGAGGTTATTTGATTTTCGTTTTAAAATACAAAAATTCAAATTGAAATACAAGGCGTTTTTCTTTTTCATGGTCAAAAAGGGATGAGCGAAATTAAAAAAATGATTCAATTTTCATTTTCTATTTCATATAACAAAAAATAAAATCACTAGAAAACAGAAACATGCGGAGAAACAGCGTATTTACTTCCGGTTTTCAAAATAAAGGTATTTAGAGCCGTACGCTATAATTAAAATATGTTACATTAAAGTGTTGTGCCCCTGATGAATAAAAAAACACTTTATATCAAGTATCTTCACTGCACCAGTGTGGAGAAATGCCGAAAATAAAAGTCTCATATTTATGCCTCCAGAGATTGCATATTTGACCATATTTGAGGTACTGTAAAAACATATTGCTCAGTGTTTCCTGGCTACCGATGGTATATTTGACTTTTACACATATGAGACTACAAACACACTTAATATCAAGCATTTTTACTGTACAAATTTGGAGAAATTCAACAATAAAAGTCCCATATTTATACTTCCAGATTCCATATTTTCTTATATTTGAGCTACGTATTTTCTTATATTTGAGCTATGTAACATATTAAAATATGTTACATATGAAAAAGAAAAACGCCTTGTATTTCAATTTTCATTTTTGTATTTTAAAACGAAAATCAAATAACCACTCGTTTTCTGTTTTTTAATACCCGTTTCTGAAAGGAAAATCCAATGACCAAAACATACACGGACCTTAGCTAAGGGGTATGAGATAGGATGGACCGGGTTGATTAGCCTGCTAACTTCAATAACACAATACATAGAAAGTCTGTGATAATGTCAAAAGTGTCATTTTTGTTCATCTTTCACAAATTGACATTTTCTAAATATACATATTATATATTAAATATAACTGACCGTTAAATATTCATTTTCATTCATTTTACTAAGATCCTCCTAAATGTTACACACTGGACCTTTAATGTAAAACTAGAGGTAAAACCCCCTGACCCAATCTCTAAAGTCCACTTCCTCTTACATTCACAGATTCTGCAGAATGCTGATGTGAGTTTGTGGTCAAACTGCAAGTGGCTCTTTAGAGATTGTTCAGTGAAATAGAATGAATTCCCTGGTTCACTGCTGTCGGATGATTCAGGAAATTCACAGGAGCGGAAAGACAAGGTTTCCCTCCCACAGAATCACAGGAAAAGGCAAAGAAAAAGGACATTTTCTGTCTCTGAGGGGAAAATCATCATCTTTAGTATAGTCACCACCATCTGTTGTTTCATACTTGCACTGGCGTATTCTTCAAGTCTCCAAATTTGGATTATAAAGCATTAACCAGGATTAAGTAAAACTGGATTATTCACCAGGGAGACACAAAATAGAAATTGGCAAAAATCGGATGTGAGTCAACAGCAGTTAGAGGTTGCTATAGTTACATATTAATCACTGTGATAGCAGGATCCAGGACCTTCAGGTTCCACCATGCTGTACTTCCAGGTGGTGATCCTGGCAGCTACAGTGATGCTGGTTTACTACTGTGAGTTCACGGACACTTTCAGTCCGGCAGAGCAGGGCTTCATCTGCAGAGACCCGACTTTGACTAAACCAGATCCCGGACCTGAGCAGGACAGCCGCATCCAGCCTGTAATACTGTACTCTGTGGTGGGCGGGCTGCCTGTTGTACTGGTGAGTCTAACTGTAAGCACAACTGAAGGTGTGACTTTTCATTGTTGGGATAAAGATAATGATGCTTCTGGAAAGACAGCTACAGAGAGGCATACATGGCATACATGTTAAAGAGGAACTAAGTTCTTTTTATATATATATTTTTATATTTATCATATCATATATTATATCATTCTGGCCTGTTCTCTCTCATTAATGATGAATTGAAAGACACTACCACTCATTTTAAACTCTGTGCTCGAGGCAGCTACGTGACGTCTCCCATTAGGGCATTTTAGCGCTTCCGCTTCCCTCACTGTGAAGTCAGTGGGTCTATTGAATGGGTTTAGATGCCTGAAATAAGGTCTGTGGTTAACACAGCTTAAACCCCTTTTGTTCTTCAACATAAATCCCACCTGTGAATTCTGAAGCTTTTACGCGTTTTTGAAAAAGGCAATTGCTAACAAGTGGCTAAATGAGACTACAGAGGTGACATTAAACAGCACACCACATCCATCACTAGTCAGCCTTCACAGCCACATTTTGTTCATAGTCGTACTCTTGCACGCTATTATAACTCAAACTTTACAACTTGTAGATTTTAATTACACACTATAATTACAGCGTTTACTGTGGAGACATTGAAGTTATGCAATCCCATTGGCTTTTTGTTGAAGGAACCTAGTGACGCTGACTTCCAGGTTGGACTACAAAAATACATCATCCCTGAAGCACTCTATAGCAAAAGTGATAAAATGTTACTGTTGTGTTTACATTTTATTACGCTGCCCCCGCGCGGCTCATTTTTTTATTAATTATTGCTGCTTTAAGAACATTACAGATAATAAATATATGATAAATATTAAAGAGGCCCACTTTTTTTCAGACCAAATAATAATAGTAAGAAGTGCAAGTACTTACATTTAGCTACTTGCATATACAGAGTACCGACATGATTACAGTTCTAACAATGATCTTAAAAACATCTTCATCAGATGTTCCTCACTTTCTGGCTGTAACAAACTAAAGTAAATGCTGCTATTGTTGTAAAAAGTGCTTAAAATACCTCCAAACTGGCCACACTGCTTCCTACTTGCTCAACTACCGAGAGGTTACGTAACATCATGCGTCTGTAAAGTGGTGTTGTGTGCAGTATCGTTTTATGATTACAATTCTGAGTACATGAGCTCAGTATTGGACCTGATACCTGATACTGGTATTAATATCGGTCCATCTCTAATAAATTATATCTTGAGTTCCTCCAAAAGCCATGGTATAATTCACACACTGGGTAAGATACACTGACTGACACACTGAATTATAAATGTTGTTTTTTTTCCATTTTCCTTTGCAGATCTCAGGTGTAGAGCTAGTTATCTTTCTTCTTCACTACAACTCCAACAACCTGTACGACCAAGAGAAGGTTGTTGTCATGGGTGACTGTTGCTATGTGAACCCCATGGTGCGCAGGACCTTCCGTTTCCTTGGTAATCTAACTACAAGGCGCTTTTCTAGTTAGGAGTATGTGTACAAAATTGGATCTGGGATGCTTCGTCACCTCTTCATTGTAACAGGCTACTGACACTGAAGGATCTGTGCAGTACGGTGGCGGCAACGCTGCTATGAATGTTGCAACGATAAAAACCTTCCTCTCATTATAACGAGGAAGTGTTGTCGTTGTAACAAACCATTTTGTCATCCTAACAAATCTTCGTTATATCAAGTTATTTTAAAAGCAGGACAAATGGAAAAGGGAGAGTTTAAGATGACTTTCTTCCTTAAGTGTCCTGGCAAGCCATGCCTATAAAGAAACATGAACAATAGCAAAGCCTGCTGACATGTCACAATGCCTGCTGTGAAAAGGGCCTGTTCCCTACATAATAAACACTCAGTAAACACTCTATAACAAGGAGTAAATTGTGATTTTTTTTCTTGCACAACTGTAATCTTTGCATTTGCAACAGCGAATTATTGGAAAGTAGGTACTGAGGTACTTTGAGGTACTTGTACTGCACTTGGATATTTCCATTTTACTTTATACTTCTACTTAGCCTGCTTTACTTAAACCTACTACAAGGAGTTTTTAACTGGTTATAAAACAATCTCAGTTTATTACTGATGCCTGACCTACATAAACAAACAAGACCATCAGTGAGGAGATTGGCTGTTTCTTCAGGGGTCGTATTCAGTTGTATTCCCCTTGAAATCAGTGGAAATGGAAGTGGAAGAGACTTTTGGAGAGTTGTCATGCCGTCTGTCTTCATATATGTTCATAACCAGTTAGTTGGAATACTGTTGATGTGAATGATTTATTTCAATTACCTAAAGCTTCAGTCTGCTGTCTTACTATATGTATATATATATATATATATATATATACATATACATATACATATACAATTTGCAAAAATTTCTACATTTCTGTTTTTTTCTGTCAAGATGGGGTGCTGAGTGTACATTAATGAGAAATAAAATGAACTTTTTTGATTTTAGCAAATGGCTGCAATGAAACAAAGTGTGAAAATTTTAAAGGGGTCTGAATACTTTCCGTACCCATTGTATATATGCTTTTAAGCATTTGAATTTGCATACAAATGTATATAATCTAACCTGTGTGTGTTTCTCTGTAGGTGTGTACGTTTTCGGTCTGTTTACAACAGACATCTTCGTCAACGCGGGTCAGTTTATCACAGGAAGTCTGGCTCCTCACTTCCTTTCTGTTTGCCAGCCCAATTACACTGCCCTCGGCTGCCAGGACACAACACACTTTGTCAGCCAATCAGACGCTTGCACTGGAGATCCCGAAGACATCATGAGAGCTAGAAAGACCTTCCCGTCCAAAGAGGCAGCGCTGAGTCTGTATACAGCTGTTTACCTGGCAGTGAGTAGCTCTGTTTAATGTAAAAAAAAGTTTCAACGCAACTAAACTAAAGTCTTCAATCAAACTCAAACTTCTAAGTTATAAATTAAACTAATAATGATTAATGCTCATTTACTTCTCTTCTTGAGAAACAATTTGAATCATTATGTTTTAGAAACAAAGTAATCTGTATTTCAGAAAAGTGAAAAACAATACTTTAATATTTTCAGTTTTACGGCTCACTGTTAACATTTTAATACAGAATTTTCTGTTTTGTATAACTTTAGTTTTTGTAAAGAAAAAAAGTCAATTACCTCAACAAAATATTATAGGTCAGCAAACTCTTTTAGTTTATTTCAAAACTTGAAAGTTTCCGTTTGAAAGTTTGAAAATAAGTCAAGACAATGGCCTTGAAATTATGAGTTTTCTCAACTTTAAATGACATAAATGACAAGTTTATCTTCACCACTGATAAGCGCAGTAGAAGCCTTACATCACCATATGACGCTGGCTTTGACTCATCTTCCTTTTCAGATGTACGTCATGTCTTGTGTCGGTTCAAAAGGAGGTCGTCTGACTGGCCCCCTCCTTAGTCTCTCATTGGTCAGTCTGGCTGTGCTGACAGGCGTCAACAGAGTGGCAGAGTACCGAAACCACTGGAGTGATGTCATTGCGGGACAAACCATCGGGGGAGCTATTGCTGTCTTTCTGGTCAGTTACTATTCAGCTTCAGTGTACATTGCATTGTAATATAGGATGTAGTAGTCATCTAACGACCATTATACGATTTTTTTCAGTGGTTCATTATGTTCAGTGCTTTTAACAATGCGATTGATTGTGCGTTTCCGTGTGTGTATCTGTCCGCAGCTAATCTTGCACATTACTGGACAGATCAGCCTCATATTTTTTGTGCACATTTATGACTGTATGCGTAAGGACCTCTCGTGGTTGCAGTGATTGACATTTTTTGAAAAATAATTTTTATGACTGTTTTGTTTTATACCGACTGCTCACTGCCCTTAACCGGCCAGTAGGGTTCACAACTGCTTCAGAGTCTAGGAACAACATACATGGCGAATCTTTAGTTTTCACTTTGAAATTGACATTTTCCATTGCTTAACTGTCCAAAGTTTGTCTACATATAGCTTGTCTACTCTGGATACACCTTGATAATGTAATCTGCATATTATCTCCCATTCATTCCACTGCTCTCATTCATACACACTGGACACACAGCCTGCTCTGGACTTTCTCCAAGACACACCTGCCAGTGAGCTGCACTCTATTGAGCGCCATTACAGATAGTGTAATGTTAATGATCTAAATATTTTAATCACGTTGTAAAAGGATTTAATCGCTTTAAAGTGATTAAATAATAAACATTTGTGAGGTGACACTGTGAATGATCTAATTCGATGTCATTTCCTTCATCTGTCACTCAGGGATGAATATAGTTCTCAATTCAGGCTCATAAATGATCTTCACAGGCCATTCAGATTTCCCTCATAATGTCTCGTGCAGTCTGTAGACAGGTAGTATATTGCTAAAGTTAACTCTTTGGATCCCACACCAAACCGAAACATAGCTATTCAACTTTATACCACAGTCCACCCTGAAGAGTATTTTCACCAACGTTGTTTGATCAGAATAGTTGATTTTTGATTGCACTTTTGATTTTAGATAAATTACATTTTAAAATAACCAGAGCCACACAGAGCCTCTTTTCAGAGAGTCAGACCACCTCTCTGCCACTGTCCTTCCTACATAATAGAAAACTGGTCTAATGGACAAAGTGGCTGCAGGACACACATACACAAAGCGCACAAGTCGTCATTGCTTGAATGAACCTGAATTCGTCTTTTGTGTAAAAGCCATGCACGGCAGTCTTGGCTGGGACAAAAAGCTGGGTCACAGAAACAATCTAAACAAACATTATTAAGCTCCATCTCCCTCAGTCACAAAAATCATTCCTCAAGAGCAGAGGTCCCCAAATACAGTTCTCTGTGTTAGACCTAATCATTTGTTGCATGACTGTGTTTGTCTACATATTCTTCCTTGGGATATACAAATCACAATTTTTGGTCTGAACAGAATAATTTCATATGATTAGAATGTTTACAGGGCCGTCTCTTCTTCTTTCTTTCCTTCCAGGTTGTGTTTGTGGTCCAGTATTTTAAAAAGAGACCTGTGATTTCTCGGAGTTCCTCAGATACAGGCACAGCTAACACTGATGAGGCTTCACCCCAGATAAATCACACTATGGGAACCAGTGACCAATACATTGTCACACAGGTAAAGCATACAGTACACATTACACTTTTACACATGTAGGTTTTGGTTTTCATTTTCATAAATGACACATGTAAGAGGGCACGATTTACCATATCATTTATGAAAACCATTATTTCCATATTTACTTCCTGGGAGTGGGAGTGTCAATTGTCACAGCGTCTTGATAACTGACCCTTCCTCAGTCCCGCCCCTTTTTGCTCTGTGCTCCAATAACAGTTGAGCAAGTCTCGGTCAGAATCTCTGTCAACTTTCTCCTTTCCTGTTTGTAGATATGCTATGTGCTATGCTAATCTATGTTGAAATGACAACGACAGTTTGAAGATGATTAAAAGATAAATGTGACATATATAGTCACATATCAAGTTAGCTAATGTAAGCAAAATGTTAGCTAACTAGCCAACTAACGATTGATGTAAAAAAGTATTTGCTTATATTAGCTTGAAAGGGTGATATCAGCTAAATTGAGCCATCAGGTAAAATGAGCCATTTAAGGTTTGAGCCTCCTAGCTCTTTAAATTCTAATAGCCAATGGCTGCAAATCATTTCAAATTGTTGCTACAACTGTACTTGATACAAAACAATTGATTTAATTGGTCTATGGTTGCTCTGGTGGGCGGGGCAAAGCCTCACTTCCAGACTGCTGAGGAGAACTGTGAGGTGAGTGGCCTGGCAGACAAATCTTACTTGAACATTATAAGGTTGATAAATCACTAAAAAACAGATGTACAGCTATAAAAAATTGGGTATAATGCATGTTGTGATAGCCTTCATCAGATATAATGCCAAATTTTTGCTTAGCTATATTATTTTTTTATGGAAAAAAAATTTTTTTGGGTGGCTCAATTTACCTTAATGTACTGGAGTAAACTGAGCCATGCATTTCAGCTAAAATGAGTCACCTTCAGAGTTAGTTTTAGCAAATATTTTGATGGTTCCTCTTATTAAACAGTGTTAATATATGACTATATGAATGTGTTACAGCATATATTCCACGCCTCTTCACATTTCCCTTCTATTTATCCCTCCTGAATTTCCCTTCAAGGATTACTAAAGTACATTCTATTCTATTCTATTCTATTCAGGTCCAGTGTGTGTGTGTGTGTGTGTGTGTGTGTGTGTGTGTGTGTGTGTGTGTGTGTGTGTGTGTTTAGCTTTGGTGCAGGCTGCATTGTGAAATATACACAAACACACACACACACACACACACACACACACACACACACACTTGACAGGAAAAGGTGAAAGAGGCATGATGTAGGCCTAACCTAGAAGTAATAGGCTAGTGGTAGCTTATAAAAAAATTAATTAATTAATTAATTAATTAATGTATGTATGTAACGTGTATATAAATAACATGAAAGTATGATATGCCCAGATTATGGCAAACAAGAAAGAACAGTGAGGAGAGGAGAGGAGGAGACAGGAAGAGAGACAAAAGGAGAGGGGGAGAAAGGAATGGAGGGGAGACAAGAGCAGGAGAAAACAAGAGAGAGGAGAGGAGAGATTTTACTTACATTTGAATGTCATTATTCATGAATTGTTGTATGTAATGTAATGTTATATTGTGTCTTTATAAAGTTAATCAGATTGTTTCATCATAAATGACTCTGGTTCGCAGTTTCAGTGACTCATTTTAGCTGAACACTGATTATCTCAAACATGTTGTTGACAGCTGATGTTTCAAAAGCTGAAAGACCTAAACGATTATATTTTATTACATCAATTCAACACAAAAATATTAAAAACAGTCCTTATTAACTATAAAAACGCATTCCAGTGTCATACATTGCTTTTTCTTAGTTTCGTAAGCAATTAACCAAAAAGTGGCTCAGTTTAGCTGATATCACCCTAAATAGCTAGCTAACTTAAGATGTGTTGAAAAGACAACCACATTTTGAAGATAATTAAAAGATAAAAGCAACTTATATATAGTCGCAAACTAGGTAAGCTAGCTAATGGTTGCAAAATGCTAGCTAACAAGATAATCTGCATCAATCATTAGCTAGCTATTTACATCAACTAATATTAGCAAAACTAGCTAGCTAGTTCATATTAACTGTTAGTTAGCTTGTTAGCTAACATTAGCTAACTTAAGACTATTATATTACTGACTATTATTACTTTTATCTTTGAACCATCTTCAAAATATGGTTTTCTTTTCAACACAGACAAGCCTAGCAAATAGCATATCTAAATACATAATTATTTTTTTTTTTTGAAAATACTGAAATTGAAGTATTTCAAGAAAATTGTTTTTGGTTATTTTTTGAAGAAATTCAGTTTTAGAGGCAATTTTTAATTTAAATGTTTTCTTTTCTGCTCCTGCAGAGCCCAGGATCCTTCACAGAAGTCACATGACTATGACCCCCGTCCCCCCCCCCACATGACCAAGGGGCAATGGAAGTTATTCATTCTACATCACACATATTTTGAGACTGTAGCCTCTTTAATTTATTTATACAAATGTAGATGATATATTGATGCCATATTGTAAATGATGTAGCACCTTTACCGTATCCAGAGGCAGCAAACTACAAACATTGCAAACAGCATGACTAATATGACAAGTAGTAAAACGGTGTAAAATAATTCGTATTATACATCATAGTATATAGCAGTAATCCATACATTAGTGTCCTTAAAGGTCCAGTGTGTAACATTTAGGAGGATCTATTGGCAGAAATGGAATATAATATTCACAGCTATGTTTTCACGAGTGTATAATCACCTGAATATAGGAAACATGTTTTCATTACCTTAGAGTGAGAATTCTTTATCTACAGAGGGTGCACATCAGAAGCGCCTTGTTTCTACAGTAGCCCAGAACAGACAAACCAAACACTGGCGCTAGATAGGGCCTTTCTTGTTTTTTTTTTAGAGTTTCGTGGCCACTGTAGTTTCTCTGACATGCTTAGTTAAGTCAAGGAGTTTCAGTTAGAATCTGCAACTTCACTGCTTGATGCAACTTAATCCGACTCACTGGATCTTTAAGGTAAAACTGTGTAAAATAATGTAAGTCAGTTTGCATTGATTAACTCTTGTTAGTGGTCGTAGGATGTGCAATGGCACCGTTTAAGACAGGGTCTTCCCAAGCAACAATATTCGTGGCCATTCTTTGTTCCAGTAGCTTCTGTCAGTAGCTTTATTTTGATTGTTTTTGTGAAAAAAACATTATCAATACCAAAGATACTTTACTTCCTGTGTGTTCAAATTGTTTGATTTGTATTCCACATGAATATGTGTCATGTTTGAAAGTACAGTGTTGTGTGTTACTTCAAACTCACAGGCCAGCAAAGAGATTATTTATTATTTTATACACTCACTGTTTTGTCCCTCACACCCTGCTAGTCATCCTACTATTCTAATAAATGTGACCATTTATCCCATACTTTGTCCTTTGTAGGTTGAAAACTGAAAACTACTTTGGGCCACGGGCCAAAAGCAAAGTGTCACTCTGCCCGGCATGCTTTGATAATTAAGGATCCTACATATTTAAAAGGCATTTTTACCTCACAAATAATAACATTTGACATTTCAAAATTACTATATGAGACACTACTGATCAAAGTGCTGATGGAACCTGCATGTCAGGTTGTATGATGTGTTTTATTCCTGAGAGGGCCAGTGGGCGTTGTTTCATTCTGTAAAAAAAGAAATCATAAAATAACCTGATACTGTATATATGAACACATATTTGCTGCTGTAAATATACTCTTTATTTAGTGTCACAGTGAAGTACCTTGACTCAAGTTGCTCTGTAGCTGCCATGTTGATTTCTGCTCAAACTGATGGTGAATTTCTTTGTATGTACTTTTTATGATACATAGATACATGGTGTTTCAAGGTGTTTCAGTAACTGCCTTACCTGAGATAACTTTTGAAATAGTATGTCTATGTATGCTCTGTGGCAGGGGCGTTTCCAGACTTTTTGGACTGGGGTGGTGGCACCGACTTATGCAGGGGTAGCATCAAGTATGTGTCTCAGCTTTACAGTCATTCCCAATTTATATAGTTCCAACACTGTTCACGGACCCCGGTATGCAGAAATATTCAAATACACTATACAAAAAAAAAAATGTATACCACATGCAATAAAAAAAAGCATGTGATTAGCATAAAGTGGGCATGTCTGCAAAGAGGAGACTTGTGGGTACCCATAGAACCCATTTTTATTCAGATATCTTAAGGTCAGAGGTCAAGGGACCCCTTTGAAAATGGCCATGCTAGTTTTTCTTTCGCCACAATTTAGCCGTTGCTTTGGAGAATTATTTAGCCCCTATCCCGACATACTAGCATGACATAGTTGGTACCAATGCATCTTCACTCTAGCTTTAAATCACAGCCCATTACAGCCTCTAAAAGACAGAATGGAAGAGGGGAAGGATAATGGGGTGGCACTTGCGGTGGCCAATTAGTTTACCAATGCCACCCCAGCCACCCCCCTCTGTACACAACCTCTGCTCAGTGAAACAAGAGTAGGAAAGTAACAGATTATGAAAATAAAGAGTCACACAGGTTGGTGACTTCACCTCAGTAGAGATCTACACTCTTCACCATAAAGTTGTTCTTAAGGATTGTACAGTAGCAGAAGTCCCCCTCCAAATGCTTCAAATATTAAACTAAAATTTTCATTACTGTGCTGTCTTGATTCTGTATTCATCACATTATGGTTTCTGATATAGCCACTACATTTATCAAAGGACCGTGTGAATAATGATAGTTATAACCTATATAACTATAATACTGATACTTACACAAATAAGTCGCTTAACGCTGCAGTAGGTAATTTTTATTAAAACTTTTTTTACTCATTATTGTGAAAACTTTCACTATATCCTGACAGTACATAAGACAGATTTAAAGAAACCTTGGGACTTGGAGATAGTTGATTGTTGAGACTCATTCCCAGCGTCTGTATATGACACCCTGGGAATGAGACTAAACAATCAACTATCTTTCTTGGCTCTGATTGGTTGTTTTCGTTCAGGCCCGGTGGATTCTTGTAAATGCCATTAGAAGCACTAGGAGGAACCAGAGGAACAAAAAATTATTGTTTCACAGATTATCTGTTTCATGTACTTCTGTCAGGATATAGTGAAAGTTTCCGCAAATATGACAAAAAATATTATTTTATAAGAATTACCAATGCAGCTTTAAAGGACCATTCTGGGTGATGCAGATCAGGTACATTTTTAATTTAATTAATTAATTTTTTTAATTTAAATCAAACCATTCAAAATGCTTGAGGACCAGACAGTCCAGGTTTGTCCATTAAATGATACAAGACCCCCATCTGCTGCACAGTGGTTTAACTGCAGCTAACAGACAAAGTGAGCAACTCCAATAGCTGAAAGATGACTGAAATATCAGGCTTGGGTAAAAGCCAAGAGATCATGACCAGGCAACATAAAAAATTTATGGTGATGGTCACAATTATCACAACATCATCACGAATGAAACTATTCAAGTGCCATGACTTCCTATTTCTAATTATTTTAAACCATATGTAAATATTTGTTTTGGTCATTACAATAATGAGTTTATCAGAGAATTTAGATATTTAGACATAAACATTTCGACATATTATAAGCCATTGAGCACTCATTTCAATTTCAAAACATGTAGTTTTCCAAACATCAGATGTTTCTAGCAAGTACCAGAACATATTTAGGATGCAACAATTGACTTTAGATCACCAATAAAACCTGTGAAGTACTGCTAAAGAGATAAGTAGTAGATACCTCAGGCTTTCAATTGGACTTCACTGCAATGAAAGTGTCAAAAATTCACTAAATCAAAACAATTATAACTGCTTAATTCTCTAAACTAAAACCTTAAAAAATATTTTATTTAACAATTATAATAAAAAATGAAATAAAAACATACAGGAAATGTCTTTAGTTTTAGTCTTTGTCGACTAAGGAGAGAATAAGGCACTTTTAAACAATTCAAATTAAACTGAAACAAGCAAACCCACTCAGTGAAACGAAAACAAAAAGTAAAAACAAAATAAAAATTAAAGCTGCAAGCAGCGATGGATGGGACCTCGCACTCCACGCAACTCGGGGCGTGCTGCGGCCGCGTTACATGCTGTCGGGGCGTGCTGCGGCCGCGCCACGTGCCGTCGTAACACGTGCGGACCACGACATGAAAATCTCACGTAAATCAGCTCAAAATCGCCACGCAGCACTTACTTCCTGTTGCCACTAGGTGGCGCTATCACTATGTGTTCAGGGTGGGACTCTTATCAGACATGTGAAGTTTGGAGCCGATTGGACAATGTAAACTCAAGTTATAGCAACTTTGTGTGTTCTGGCGGTACATCAAAGTTTGACGCCACGCCACGGACACGCCCTGTAACAAAAACTCACCACAATCAAGAAATATCATCAAGAACATGTTTTCCATTTTCTGACTAGATTTCAGCTTGATCTGATCATCCTACTAGGAGTACAACATGGAAGTATAAAAAAATGACATTTCCTTTCACCACTAGGTGGCGCTCTCACTTTTACTGAATATTATCACCTAGACGTGTTCAGGGCGGGACTCTTATCAGACATGTGAAGTTTGGAGCCGATTGGACAATGTACACTAGAGTTATAGCAAATTCGTGTTTTGTGGCGGTACATCAAAATTTCATCACATATCATCAACAATGTGTTTTGCATTTTATAAGTAAATTTCAGCTGGATCTGATCATCCTGCTAGGAGTAGAACATGAAAGTATAAAATGTGATACTTCCTGTTGCCACTAGGTGGCGCTCTCACTATTAACGAATATTATCACATAGACGTGTTCAGGGCGGGACTCTTATCAAACATGTGAAGTTTCGTTGCAGTCGGATCATGTACGCAGAAGTTATGAAGAATCCCTCTTTCATGGTGAAGGTTTGAAATTGGATGCCACGGGACGCCACGGGCACAATGTTGGACGAAAAAAACTGACTGCACTGACCAATTCTGAAGTAGATCCAATAGAACCTGTAGGAGGAGTTAGTTAAAACAGAAGCCCTGAAATGCCAAAAATGACATCACAGTGTGACATTCGTTCAAAATGGCCAACTTTGACGGCACGCCACGGACACGTTCTTCAACGTACAGTTACAAATTGAACAGCGTTCATTCAGCACCATGTTTTGACTGTACTGACCAATTTTGAAGCAGATCCGATAAATTCCCTAAGAGGAGATCGTTCAAATACAAGCCCAAAAAGTCAAAATGACCACAAAATGATGAAAATTAAAATTTTAATATCAGACTTCCTGTGGGTTTTGGGGCTTGGGTCCAAGAGGCTTTTCTGCTTCTTTTATCATGATACACATGCATAGCAATTTTCGTACATGTGGGCCTTACCTGTCTTGGGGGCTGATTCCGGGGGGCGTGGCTTAGACGTTTGGCGGCGCCCGTGCACGGGGACAATGTCATATCGGTATTTTTGCTACGTTTGAATTTTGTGGAAATTTTCATGCCATTTTGAGGATGTTGCGGGGGCCAAATATGCGGTCGAACTTCCAAAGGTATAATAATAATAATTCCTAGAGGAACAATTGGGTCTTGCACTTTCAGTGCTGATCCCTAATAAATACAAAACTATAATCAATCTAATTGGGAGATAATTGATGGGTTTTTTTGGAGGATTTGTTTCTAACAAATAATCTGTCAACAGGACGCATCCTGTCTGTTTATTGTCACAGGACTCAACAGAGGATTTAAATAGACTTTCTTACCTCAGTGCTATTGGCTGCTTGAGGAGGACAGCCAACTGTCAATCAGCTCGCCGCACACATAGCCCCGCCCCCCGCCCCCGCCCCCCGCACCTGCAGCCCGGGTCGCCTGGAGCTTCACGCGGGACAGGCAGAGGCACAACCGAGCACGAGACAGAAGTGGGCTAACTGCCAGGTAGGCTAACTTTAAACCTTTCCTGCATGGTTTTCTTTTATAGCACTTCTAGTCCAGCATTAAAGAATGAAGTGTCCTGTTCTGTTCTACTAAGATATAATATATACAATATAATACAACCAACTGCTACAATTACTTTGTCATTAACGAGTCCGGTTTCTGAATTTGCAGCTAAAACGTTCATAATAAGTTAGCTAACAGTTAAGTTACTTGTCAAGCACAGTGCAAACAGCAGTTTTAGAGGTATTAATGTAATGTTACAAGTGTTGAGCTTATTATCCCCACTGCCCAGCAAACTTTTACTGGAGTCATGTAGACAGTCAGGGCAGGTTTAAAATAGGAAAATGTTGACATGAATGGAGACACAGAAAGACAACCAGAGAGAGGTGGAGGTAATTCCTTAATTCTGTTTAAGCTTCAGTTTCTCCGTGCTGCTGCTCCCTGTAGGAGTCTGCACACTGCCAGGTCCAACAAGGCAGAGCTACACTGCCCGAGTCTATATACAGGGAAATTATTATTTGGAGACATTTGTAAATTTCCTTAACACACTCAGTTTATCCTACTGTATTGCATACATATATGTTACAGATACTGTGCCAGAGTGTAGTACTCTTAAGTACTGGGGTACTGTAGCTCTGGAGCAAGGGTCTGAGCCAGTGCATTAATTCCCTTTAAACTTAAAAGACTATTACTCAGTAAAGTACAAAGTTTTCCTTGCACAGCTTCCAGCTTTCATTAGCTGGTCTTGACACTGGTTGGTAGTAACTGTTACATGTGTAACTGTGCTGCATTGCTGTCAAGTGAATGACATTATCTCCAATTTGGTGATTCTTATGTTTTCAGATCAGTTGAAGGACTGTATTACTTCAGGGATTCATTGTTACCAAACCTAAAGTTGATTCTGAAAAGCTGAGATTTTGAAGGTACGTGATTTGCACTGTATAAAATCCCTTTCTCAAATTCACATTGTTACAACCGACTGGCCCCACATCCAAGATCACCACCTCCAGCCCTGCTATGTGAGATATTTCTCTACGCTGGGGAAGGGTTGAATCCTCAGTGAAATAAGACATATATCTTCCTAAATGTTTCTTTTTTTTTTTTTGGAAGAGATGCATTAATGTTAATTATTTCAAAGAACATCTGTGACCATAAACGTTTTCATTCAGATAAATATGAGTGTAGAGCTGTGTAAAATATTTACATGACGACATAAAGTTAATGCTTTTGAAACCACTTGGTAAAAGAATGTATGTAGGTGTTGAACACATGGTTTTCACACTGATCAGCCCACATGGTCTCTCTGTCTACAGTATAGCTGGCAAGCAGATGGCTTACACAGATTATCAGCCTCATGAGCAGATTAGCTCAGTGTGCCCACTGCTTTACTGCCTGCTTACCTGACTGACAGGCTGATAGAAACTCTACTCAGCTTTTATTTTGTAGAAAATTAATTGATTACTGACAGGCTGGCTGGCAAATGTGTTTTCCATTCATGTAGGAGATGATGTGACAGCTGACTGGATAAATAGAGAACAGTCTGACTGACAGTACGTGTGACTGGAGGTGGGTCAGATTAAGCCCACGCCTCAGGCTGACAGGCTGGACACCTTGTTTGAGGGAGTTAGGGCAGAATAACCCCTCTCCTTCAGCGTGGATGGACTCGTTTGTTAAGATGACTTGGAGCAAAATTAATCCAAGACCCTTTTCTCCCAGCTGACCTGAGGCAGTGGGTCAATAACATGTTAGGGTACTGTTTGTTTAGCTGCTGGTCTTACATGCAAGTGGTTAAAATACCTGCAACATTCAACTATCCAATCAAATACATTGCAGTAGAGAAGTATACACCAGCCACCTGGATGTTCACTCAAAGTTCTGCAAACGGTGACCTGGGAATAGAAGCAGTAAACGTGTATCTCTTTTTCTAAGAATACCCTCCTCCCCTGTGACCCCCATATACATGTTTGAACCCCGCTATTAACTCTCCTGACACACATCTATATTAAACACACAGCCTCCTTGCCTGCATACCTACAGCTGAATCTGCTGGGTGAGAAATAAAGCAAAAGACGTTGACGGTGTATTTCACATGCATCTTTATTTTGTAATAAATAACACATCAACCTTGGAATTCCTGTGATACACAGATGTTTTGTATTAAAGATCCCTGAATTTGGTTATCAAATTGCTGTTACAGTTCTGTGTCTGAGGCAGGGTGTTTTACAGTTGAACTCATTTTTATGATGGTTTAAGTTTGAACACTTAGTTAGTTGGGTATAGGGAAAAATGGCTTTCACAGGCTGAGCAGTGCTCCCTCAAGATGCGTACACTGACTTTCATGTGAATTGATGGAGTGCCCCTTTAACAAAATGAGGATGTAAACTGGGCAATATCTGATCAAAGAATAAGTTAACAAGTTTAAGAATTGTAGAATTTGGTGCCAATTTTCAGTGTACGTTTTCATATGCATTATCTTGCTGTATGAAAGTTAATACCAGCCTGAATAATATACATCAGAATCACAGTGGGATTTAAAGAATGACTTCATTAAATATATCTATTTTTAAGGTGATTTATTGTTTGCTGTAAGTTATCTAAAGCATAGCCGGCTGAAAAAACAACAACAACAAAAACAACATTTAAAACCACAACAAGGCAGATACAGGGTACACGCTGTGGACAGCTGGACCAGCAGGACTCCCCCAGCAGACAGCCCACTGACCTGCTGGATAAAAATAAAAGATTTGACCCCGTAGTATATAAAAAGCCAGAGTGCTGTAGTTCTGAATGGGAAGTCACAGATATATTCTATCTAGGTCCTGATATAGCGGCTGAATAAACATAAAAACACCATGTGATCACATTGACAGTATACTTAATATATACTGTAAACACAATACCACTTGATATATGATCACTTAAACATGTCAGCAGGAAGATTTAGGCTAAAACATGATACAGGGTTGCTTCCAAAATTATCAAAAGACTGATTGAGATTCTATATGGCAGACTGCCAGTCTGGGAGGGAAACACACACACACAGCAGCAGCTGTAGTTAAAGGAGAGTCTTGTAAATTAGGGGGTCCTGTCAGACAGTCGTCTCTTGATTTAATAGATTGACAGAGTGAGGACACGCTGCAGAGGCAGCCTTAGCAACAGTTAGCAGTAAGAATAAGTGACCACCTCCGTTGTTGTTAGAAGCTCCTCCAGGTGTTGAGCTGGGAGCAGCAGTGACAGCAACAGCTGAGGGAAGATGGAGGAGGACAGAGCAGAGAGAGAGGAGAATCAGTCAGAGTGGACAAAGGTGTGAGGCAGCATTTAGACCAGTATGACATGCTGAAACTCACTGCATGATAGTGATCATTCTCTCCTGATATCCAGTGTCCAATAGATTTAAAGGTCATTTTTTGACACAGATTTGGACTTAATTTCGTGCTCCTTCTTCTCTGGGAGATTGTTGGATCCAAAGTGCACCCCAACACGGGACTGCTGCTCCATTTTAGATAGGATGCAAGAGCTAACGTTAGCACTAGCCAGTAGTCACACTGCTTGCTGCATCTGTGTATTCCAGAAGCAGAAAGAAGAATGGATTTTTGAAAGTTGTGAATCATTTCAGAATTGTAGAAGATAAGAATTGTGAATTTTATGTGAATGTTTAAGCTGGCAGTACATTTGAAAAGCTCTGGACTCACTTATCACATGAACTAATGTTTTCTGTTAAATCCATTTGTACTGCTAGCTGTTATTATTTTTACAGTGCTGGCTGGGGGGTTAACTTTGATCGATTAATTCCTTAGTTCAACTCAGTAGTATGTCAATGTGGAACTGGAAAAAGGTGTCTGACACATTTCTCTGCTTTCTCCTTGCTCTCATTTTCTCTCTCTCTCTCTCTCTCTCCCCCCCCATTGTCTGTCCTGGAGCAGGATGGAGGAGTCTGACCTGCTGAAAGAGAGGCTACAGGCCATCACGGTAATGCTTTATCCTACTGTGCTCAAGTGAAAAACCAGTGTAGGAATTTTGCATCTCTCTGTTAATTTCACCTGTAACCCCATTTTATCGGAAACTATGGTAACAAATTTAACCGTTTGTCTTTAATGTAACAGGAGAAGCATCGCATTCAGGAACACATTAGGCGGAAGAAACTGGATCTGGACCAAGAGAAACTCAAACTGCAGCATCTAAAGGTCCACTGCACTCAGTTACACTAAAACACTGTTTATTGTGTGAATAAATCTGACAACAACACCAGATGAAGTATGTGGTAAACGGTTTAGATTATCTCATATTAGCACAAAGAATCACTGTCCATCTGTTTGTCCGCACATTATTATTCTTCCCATCACCTCTGCAGGCACTGTTACAGCACTGATTAGCTGCCATTAACGTGTACTCAGAATGAGAACAACAATCCGTTACTGAACCCTGTCTTCTGTCTTTTGAAAATCATTAGAAAAAAGCTCTGAGAGAGCAGTGGCTGCTACAGGACTCAGCTTCCCACAATGCAACAGACTCCCCACGGCAACAGAGCCTTCTCTATGACCAGCAGCAGACCAGAGCACTGCAGCTCAACATCCACAGGTAGAGAACACACAGACACACACAAACCAATGTGGGCCTGTTGCTAACCCGCACTTTCTGACCTTTAGGATAGAGATGGAGGTGGAGGCTCTGGAGAGAGAGGAGTCTATGGTTTCCACCAACGAGAGCTTCATCCTCAACAGACTGAAGGCTGTAGAGAAAAGTTCAGAGGACATTATCAAGGTACACACACACACACACACACACACACACACAGAGTCTGTCACAGCTGTATTTTTGTGCTCCCATTATGATGCTCACTGGATTGTGTCTGTCGTCTAGGAGGCCCAGGACAGCTTTGTTCCTGGTAAGTCATGGCATACTTTTTTGGATGTTTTAACCAACACCAAAGATGAATCTATGTTAAAACATTTTTACATTTCTTGTCCCACAGAGCCATTACAGGTCACCACAATGATCCCTGATGTCCCAGAATCCCCCTCTCTACCATCTAGCAAAGACTCTGAACCAAGCACACCAAGAAAGAGTGAGTTGCTTATTCCTGTAAAGTCATCCAAAGCACATTGGACCTTGCAGTTTATGGGTTTTGATGTACAAGGTTTCACATGTTTAGGGTTCACATAGTCCTGTAGTTGGATGGCAAATGGCTTAAATAAGTGAGTTGGTGAATGTTAGAAGGGGTTTCCAAGGAGATTGGTTTGCAGTTGCAAGTTTGGCTCACATCAGTGCATAGATCATTTAATTTGTCTATTTGCATCAGTGCTTATTGCTTAAGATAGAAGTAACCTGGACTGATGTTATAATGTATGCAGATATGAAATTTGGCCAACATAAACTAATATTAACATAGACTCTGTCTTCCTTCTGTGTCTCAGCTCTGTTTGCCATGGAGATCAATGTGACTAAAAACCTGTTGACAGGGGAGAGCACAGTACTTTCTACTGCAACAGTTTCTCCTGAGGAGTTGAACCAACACGCTGGGCTCAAGGTGTACGATGACGGCAGGAAGTGTGTCTATGCCATGAATTCACAAGAGGTATAATCATTGATAATAATAATACACTTCCTTTGTAGGGGTGTGATGCTCGGGTATCTCAATATTATTTTTTTTGATATTGTATTGATTTTTGTGTTTAAACCCCCAACCACTAGCATAAACCGAGGGCTATGATGTTGGATGGACATTGCATTTTATGCATATGGTGGTGTGTTCTTTATACTATAGTACACAACAGTTTTCCTAAAATGTTAGTTTTTTTAAATCGGATTTGTCAAATATAGTGTCTTGCTTACAGTATTCCAATATATTGCAGTATATTGAATCGTAAGGACCAAGTAATGCAAAAATGCAAGTTTATAAAAATTAGTTTTTAGTAGAGAAACAAAGGAAGTCACTGAGGTGGCAACTGCTCTAGAGATTGGGGGCCCTGACAGCAAATCATAGCAAGCATAGTAATGAAAAGAAATATTAACTGTCTGTCATCTACTTTTGTGTTTTCCCAGACTTTCTGCTTTTTCCATTGACTTCATATTGTGTTCTTTTCCACTTTTAGGGCTCACATGACCAGAGCCGTGCGTCTGAGCTGTCAGCCAACGAGGTGGAACAGTTGCTGAGAAGCGCAACTGTGCATCGCCAAGTAAATCACCAAAATCCCAGCAGAAGGGAGGAGCATTGCTTTTACAACCGCCAAGGTGAGAGAGACAGAATGGAGGAATGTGACCTCAGACAGCAGGGAGGACATTACGGTCGCAACCTCCTCAGGAACAACTTAACAGAGAAATACTTTAGTCGTAGGGAGAACTGGCAGAGAAAACCAGGGGCAGAGCATCACTACGGTCACCAGGAAAGCCATTACAGAGGGCAGGAAGAAAGAAATAACCAAAGCAACCTGAGGGAAGGTCATCGCCTTGGAAACCACAAGGGTTTGGAACATCACCATAGTAACCAGAAAGCTTGTCACTACAGTTCCTACCAGGCGAGAAACTGTCACAGTGTTCAAGAAGATCGGCTTGCTAGCCAACACGCCAATGGCATCATCCGAAGCAATAGTAGGGTTAATGGAAGCAGAGCCAATGGCTGCCCTCCTCCCAGATCACATGACCAGGAAGTTGTGTCTGCCTACCAACCACAGCTCTGCTACACTCCAGCCAATTATATTCCTCTTAGGGATTACATCAGCGTGGATGAAGAAGAAGTTTATTGTCCACCTTCCTATCACAGCCACGATGGAAACCAACCCACTGCTCTATACAGTGGCCCCACCCACTCTGACAGAGTCCCCTCCCCCATTTATGGAGACGACAGCCCCTACACCATTCTCAACGCCATCGAGACCACCGAGCCAATCACAGCCATCTTCATGGGTTTCCAGACGGCGCAGGACGACAGCAGGCCAGGTCAGGAGTTTGAGGGCTCCCTGAAGGCCGAGCTGGTCATCATTGAGGACAATGAAGTCAACGGCAACAACAACAGCATGAAGGAAAAGAAGAGCCACACCCAGCTCAGGGTCAATGGTTATCCAACGCAATGTTCAGCCAATGGAAACATAGGACGTGTGGAGGGAGATGGAGACAGACGGATCGAGAGACCGGTTGGACCAGGTATCAGAAAGATCCAAAAAAAACACAAAGCATGCTGTACTGTCTGCTAACTGGACTAACTAATGTTTGTGTGTCCAACACAGTAACCAGCTGTATCCGTCTGATGACTAACAAACAAAAACTGCTCTATGTCACAAGTAAAACAGTTACCATGGGGAATCATGGAGAACGCAGCTATTTAGTGTTGCAGGGGGCAACCACGGTTTGGTTCTGTGATTCATGCGTCTTCGAATCCCACGAGAGCATTTGAGAAGCAGAGCCTCTTTATAGCGTGTTGACTGCCACACGTTGATTACTTGTGTATTTTGTACTTAAAAAGTAATCTCCTCTAACCTGCTTCTGACTGATCGACTTCTGGCCTGGTGCCACAATGTTGATCTAGGGTGAAATTCTATATGGAGTCTGCATGCAGTATTTTATTTTGAAATTGACCGGCTTCTCTAAACTGTTTCTGTGTCTGACTTCCTGCCTGTGCTGTTTGACCCAAGTGGGTCGTGGCTTACATCAAAAATAGACCAAGTAGCCTCTTTGAGCTAATTGTTTTTAGTTTCATCCAACATTTTAACTTAAAGCTCACTGTATGTCTGTAAGTGTCACCACGGACATCAGCCTGACAATGCTAGCAGGCAGCTGTTTCCAGTGAGAAAGCTCTGATAAACCCACTGTACACTACCTGCTCACAACAGCACACAGACACATTTAGAGACCAGCTGGCAGAGGTGTGGGCTCGAGTCACATGACTTAAGCGCTTGGTATACTCGCCGTTCCCGACCTGTCGTGCGACAACGTGACGTCAAAATGACGTAGATTTCGCTGGCGCGCCAGGATTTTGGCCCGGTCGCTCCAGGCCGCGCACCACTCTTTTTTTTCCAGCTGAGAGTGCCAAAGCGGAAACAGGAAGATGGACGATCTGTACGATCCTTCAATGAAGGAACACAGAGATGCCCAGAGGTGCCATGAATGTTGGAAAAGAGGAGGCCATATGCCGGAAAATTTGGAACACGAACCTACGCGACCGATTTGGAAAATAAAGAAAAAAAAAAAAGTTTTTCTTCTTCTTCTAGTGCCTAGAAATAGCAAAGTCGGTAGCCTTTCCCCAGTAGCGACGCCTCTGTTCAGGAGAAGACTGCAACTAGTGTCGCGACCACAGTGCAAGTATAAATAGTTCCGGCGCTCCTGTGACGCCACATTGTCGCGCGACAGGTCGGCAACGGCGAGTATACCGAGCGCTTTAGATTTGAGTCCACTAGACTGGACTTCCCACCTCCACTTGGACTTTAACACAAATAACTCTGACCTCACTTGGACTCTTTTGACTTGAAAACATTTGATATCTTCCCCCAAACCTTATTTAGAGTGTGCCACGCATACAGCCATTTCTCCAGTCCACACTTCACTCCCAAGATCCAGTTTGTTTGAACCAATCTGACAGTTTGTTTCGTTAAATGGCATTAGATTTGGGGAAGAGCACACTATGACTTGTTTAGGACTCGGAACTCAAAGTTCCAAAGACTTGATTTGGAACCTGACTTGGGACTTGCAAAACAATGGCTTGGTTCCTCCTCTGCCTGCTGTTGAACAGGGGAGCATTTAGCAGCGAAAGAGACTGATATATTTCTCAGGTGTTCGCAGTGCTGTGAGGCGAGTGAATGTTGGACTTACATTCAGCACGTGGACAGAATCACTGCTCCGAATAAATGCTTGTGTTGCATATGTGCAGTACAATATGACAAGTACTAACTTTCTGCAGGATATAGACCTTATTTAGAACATTGTCTTAAGTAATTATGCAACACAAAATAATGAGAAGGATTTGTGTAAATATATAAAACGGTTAGTTATTAAACGTGCTCAGGGTTAGATTCCAGAGAGCTGCTGTCCTGTAGCTCCCTCTGCTGGTGTAAAGGTGCTGATGTGACCTAGTTCACAGTAATAAGCAGCTATAATAAGAAACGATGAAAACCTCTATATGCCAGCCAATGGTAAGCTCAACAGTGATTTAAAATAAGTGCTTTTGTAGTATTGTATAGCACTGTATACTGTAGTACACTGGTTTCCAAAGTAGGTTTCAGAGGCACAGAGTAGTACCCAGAAAAAAGAAAGCAAACTCATCTCAGCTGCCTGATACTGCCTCATGTTAGCCCCATAACAATATACAGGTGTGATCATTGGTTTGATTTAGCTGCACAAAACTCTTTAAATGTGGTCTGACTTTGGATCAACACAGTGTCAGACTTACAATGAAAGCCAGCAATAATGTAATGTGACACACTGTATACCTAAAACATTTGTATTCCAGTGACACGTGGTGGAAAAACTGAGGCACACTAAAATATTTACAGATTAAAAATATCTTACTGTATCATATTTAGAGAGCCTTTTATCAAATAGATTTAGTAAAGAACTTCAAATAACATGTTTGTTTTTGTTTGGACATTCTCATACTAACCTGGAGTGATTGAACTGTACATGTGTGTCTACAACATGTCAGATAATGAGCATGTGGAATGATGATGCTAATAAACCTTTGTTACTGATGGAAATGAACAGCTCGCTCTGTGTCTAATCCTCATCACAACATAACACTGTGTGACTAGGTGTGTGTGTGTGTGTGTGTGTGTGATATTAATCCTGCGTGATGTGAATCAGCTCAGATGTCCCTCACAGAGTCATGCTGGATATCAGTCTGCGTTACTTTATGTTGACACTGATGTCATCTCATTATAACACTGTACTGTGTGTGTGTGTGTGTGTGTGTGTGTGCGTGTGTGTGTGCGTGCGTGTGTGTGTGCAGGGTACATCCTGTAGCTGACAGCATCAGGTCCAATGACATTAATGACAGTACTTGTGTCATTGGCACTGACAGACAGCCAATATGAATTAGAGTACAGTGGTAGCGTTGTTGTTGTTGTGGCTGCAGGACAGAATGAGTGCACAGGTTACAGTAACACCTCCACTACCACCTCCAGCCTCCTCCAGGGAAACACACAGAGAAATCTCAACTAAAGGTCCACTCGCTTCATCAGCAGATGGATTAGCTCTGTGAGCTCAGGCTAATGAAAAGTTTGAACACTTACATTCTCAAGACAAAAGAGAAATGATGAGGACGGTGTTACTTGGTAGGAAGCTCTAGAATAAGGAAGTAACCTTGAGTTGCAGTCAGTCTCAATCTTTGTATAGTTCCATTATTCGTGTTTATGTACTTGAGTACAGTTTTGAGGTACTTTTACTTTACTTGAGTATTTCCATTTTATGCTACTTTGTACTTCTGCTCCACTACATTAAGTTTAAATCTTTAGTTACTTTACAGATTAAGATTATTGATGCAAAACCAAATCTGATGTATTATCATTGAACTGTCCAGCAGTCAATGTCAAAGTCATAAAAAAAAGTTATAAAAAAATAAACCTTTACCAGCTGCATCATTAAAGTGATGAACACTTTAATCCAATATCATCATCTTCCATCCAGATTCTGAAATAAGCCATTCTGCATAATAAGAACTTTTACTTTGGTAGCTTAAGCTTAACTTTGACTCAACATTTTAATGCAAGAATTTTACTATTATTAATTGTTTCCTGTGCAAAATGTCTCCCTAGTTTCTAGTTGTGAAGATACAGACCATGTAGAGATGTATGTGGTCTCAGTTTGGTAAGGTTACTTGGAACACTCCAAATGGTGCCATTATATACTCTGTTACACTTGATTTTTTTTTTCAATACAAACTAAAACATTGCAATATGCAACACAATGTTATAGAAAAGCTGCATTTCTACACCACAACACTCCCAAAAAAACCCAGTGAAATCACAGAGGGACTGATCAGCGTGGAAGACTAGAGCTGCAGTGTAATGCTGCTCTGCTGACTGTCGGTGTGTGTGTTGTGTGTGTCAGGTACAGAGGAATGAAGGAGGACGGCTGACCCATCTGACATGCTGGAGCTTTCAGTTGTCTCCTAGTTCTTTGTGTCCTGCTGTGATCCCTGACTGACTGCTTCAGCACCAGCCAGCTGCTCGGCCTCCACCGCTGCCTTCATATATCAGACCGTTCCAACCATTCTCTCCTCTTTCTGTGGTCCTGCTTCATTCACTGTCTCTGCCCCATTTCACAAACTGCCAAAGATAAACATTTTTCTAATATAGATGCTTTGTTCTGTGCAACCCACACTCTGTCTCTAAGATGCCTGTTGACCTTAAACATTTGACTCATTGTCTGCTTATTGATGTTGTTAAAGTTGGTGATTGTGATCTTATGAACATACCTTCAACAATAGTGATGCACTGTAGGGAAACTGGAGACATTGGAGGAGCTCGCTGGGGTCATACAGCCTGAGAGGAAGATCTGACAGACTCTACGTTGTATGTTGTTCAACTTAGCAGTAAGAGCCAGCTTTTCGGCTCCCAAACGGCTCAGCCAATAGCTGGATTTATAAATATTCTTACCTATGATTGGTATGTGTGAACATATATCACTTGAATTATTCAACGTACTAAACTGTATAAATGTTGAATAACATTAAATCATCATATGTTTATTGAACTTTCTTCTTTCTTTATATGTTTTTTTTTGTATGTTGTTGACTGGTGCAATATACAAATGTCTCACCATGCTTGAGTCTTAATGTTATTACCAAAGTGAGATTTTTCTAGATTGTATTTAACAAGGTACTGTGCGTTATATGATGATCTTGTTATTCTGTCTTGTATTAATATTAAAAGAAAGAAAAAAATAAATCAGCTCTCAGATGAGAGGTGGTTCCCATCATTCACTTAAAGCTGCAGTAGGTAACTTTTATAAAAAATAACTTGTTACATTTGGTGAAACTTTCACTATATCCCGACAGCAGTACACGAGACAGATAATCTGAAAATCCAATCCTCTGGCTCCTCCTAGTGCTCTAATGGCATTTATAAGAATCCAACAGGCCTGAACGAAAACAGCCAATCAGAGCTGAGAAAGATAGAAATACACTTTGGGTTGGTGGCTTGAAGATAGTTGATTGGTGAGTTTCATTCCCAGGGTGTCAGTACAATCGAAATGGCTGCCGACAAATAAACAGATCGTGAACACACACAGGAGGTTTCAGTAGTCAGGCTTTATTGAAGATGTCATTACCAGACCTTTCATTTGGCAAGAATAAATGACTGAAACTCAAGGCAAATAAACTAAGAAATCAACAGAAACAGAATAAATGACATTAGTGAGGAAAAGCTGTAATAGTCAGGACAGCTGTTTATACGAGTCCATACAGAAGATTCTAGCAAGTGTCACCCAGTGTTACATCTGGATTTATTGAGAAGTGGCCTGAACACAATCAGAAATGTTAAAATGACTAAATAGACTTTTCTTTTCAAAACTAAAAGCAGTGTAGTGGAGTAATAAAGTATCTTAGATAGTGAAGCTGATGTGAAAAACGGCACTAAGATTAAATCAGAAGCCAAACCAGGTGTGGATGTGAATACCACGCCCCGACTGCAATGAAATCACAGGGCAAACACTGAGTGTGCAGCAGTGTGTGCTATCATACAGTATATCTAACACAGTAACATAATGACATACTCAACTTTAAAGCGGCCCTGCTTTTGACACAGCAGTTATTATTGTGCATCCAATACAGCTCAGACTCTCATAGGACACTACAGCGCCAAGATTCTTGTTTTTAAAGAATCTGTTCAGATTTTTACAAGTCTACCCTAATACATTAGTTATTGTTCACTGTAATCATTCCTCATTTCCATACTGGCCCTGAAGAGATCCCTGCCTAGTGTAACTAAACATCATAAATTACATTATGTACCTGACGCACATTAAGTACATGAATTAAAAAAAATGTATTACGGTAAAAGGATATTAGTACTGTTGAGTTTTCATCCATATTTTACCACCACCAAGTTTTTACAATCAAAAGAAACAGTTTTGCTGTATGAAAATACCTTATGAATATTATGCCAGTGGTTGTCTGTGCAATTTACAGTCTGTAAGATAAAAAAAACAACTTTATTCCATAGAAATTCCTTTAAAAGTTTGTATGAATAAAGGTTTTGCAATGAGATATAAGAGCATTTTACTACTTTTTTACTTTAACTTTACTTTAAACCTATTTTGAGTTTACGGTCTGATGGTTTGCTGTGTAACTGACGAAACATACGTACGTTACCTAATATATTGTTTACTACTCAACTCATTTCTGACAGCAAAACTTTGGTAGAAACATCAACAACTCTAAAGATTTTTCCATTATGCAAAATTATAATTTTGGTGCAGAAGAAACAAAAGCAATAGAGACACAAGGAATTAACTTTATCTCATATAAATTCAGACAAGGCAAATAAACACTGTAAGGTTGGGCTGGGTAAGGGCAAACAGGAATTGATAATACTGGCAATATACCAACACCATTGCCTGGATTTTTTCACAGAATGAGAACTATTTTGTGCCTCATCTCTTACAGTATAATTACACGAAGGCAGGTTCATTTTACAGCCAGCACGAGGAAGAAAAAAACAGTAACCAACGACTTCATCAGCATACCAATGAAATGTATCAGTGTATTAAGATGGACTTGGAAAAATTAAACCTAGCCTCTCAACATTTAGGTCAGAAAATACAGATACAGGCTACATCATATGTATAGACACAGCTTCAGGTTCCACAGTGACTCACAGCTCAAATGTAGTTAGTTAGCTACCGAGGATCGTTTGTGGTATATCTTATACTGTAACAGTAGTGCAAACACATCACAGCTTAGAGCGCCATCAAAATGTAGTGATGATAAACTGAAACTGCTGCCGTTAGCGTTCCACTCGCCTGGTATTATTCCACCCTGGAAAGTTAAAATCATCCCATTTCTGAGTTGACTTGAATGCACCTTTACCCCACAGCCGAGTCAGGTTGAGTTTATTGGGAAACCAGTGAGTGAGCTGAGCTATAGAAGCCAAACTAAAGGTAGCTCCAGCTAGCTGATGTGTGAAGGATGGATTACTATAAAACACACACTCGTACACATGCACACCCCACACACAAAAGTCATCTCCTAAAAAACATTGCAGACTTCCAATTTCAAATAGTCATTCTGACATAATATATTATAAACCTTTTACAAATAAAAGCTTCAAGGATTAATACGCATTGCTCAATTCATAAATATATGCAGCAAAAATACAATACAATAAATCTCTTTTAGGAATCAAGACAGGACATAAAAATATGTAAAAATCTTCACTAAACTTTACGATTAGAACATCTGATTCTTTCAGAGGTGCTCGAGTTATTTTGCTGAAACAGCAGAGCCACAGATAGGCAGAGTTTGACCAGGTTGTATCAATCAACACACCCCAAACATTTGTCTGGACTTAACTGTACACACCATGCCTACGCTTATAAAGCTAAAACATTAGGGCTGCAAATATACCGCCATCCATAAAACCGACATGGTGACATGGAAGCTCATTTTAAAGGTGTGTACGACTGAATGTGAATTTTCGCCTCAAGGTAATCACATAAATTTGACAGCTGGAGGGTTTGGAGTGTGCCAGTGTGTGTCAGCTGACACTCTGGCCCCCAGGAAGAGTGCTGGGCTTTGAAGCCAATTGGACATAGTGGCTGAATCGTGTAAATACAGCAATGGCATCCAGCCCAAAAAGACGTTTTCCATAAGCTTACACTGTGAAAGAAGCGGATGTAAAACGTTGGATACATTATATTTGAGCGTCACTAACCGCTGCGAAATGACTCATTTTATCCCCATTCAAGTTAGCAGAGGGCTAAACCGGAAGTTAGCGGCTCGGCCGGTGGAAGTCTCTAGTCCTTCTGTTCTATGGGCCTCACAATGCGGAAGCATATGCGGGAGATTCGGAAAATGAATTAAGGAATTAAGGAAATCAAAGTTTTTAGGCACTGAGCAGCTTCCATAAGAATGTATCCAGTTCTTTTCCTTGTCGTTGTATGTTGATGAATTTTATGTGCTAAAGTTGGAACATTTTCAACTTGCACAAACATGACTTGCGTAACCTAGATTGAATTTGCACCCATTCGCTTAACATTCAGTCTGAACACAAGGGCTCTCAGGTCATTGTCTCTGGAATTTTTTTTTACATTGTTTTAAATATCTGTGGTCACCGGTTGTGACTGCTATACTTTAATGCAATATCAGAGTGTGTATCCACATGTACCCACATGTGGATGCTGCCTGTCTATTTGCCTTTTTTTTAAAAAACATTCTTATATCTTATATGATGTAGCAAAAACAGCTAACCAAACCTAGCTCACTGATAAATGTTACATTATTTTAGAACCTAGCTCAGGTTGAACTCAGTTTTGTTTAGAACGTCAACAGCTTTCAATAAAAATGTCCATGCCCCGTGCCGTACGCCTTCATTACATGCTAACGAAGGAGAAAAGAAAACTAGCAAGCTTTGGAACTTTGAGACTACAATATCCTCAAAGGAGAGTGTATATTTGCTCTTTAAGAAGCCCACAAAACTGGAACTCTGGTTTACAACCAGCTGCCTTCAAAGAGGAGGTAAAAACCAGTCTGTGCGAATGGTATTCAGTTAGCAGCTAGCACTGTTTAGCCAACATGGCTGACACAGAAACCTGGGACATCCAAACTCTCTTGATCAATGGCTCATTGTAACTTTCCACTAAGGCAGTGATTTTCAAAGTCTGGGTTGGCCCATTGAACACAACATGCTAGATTATTTTTGCATATACCTTTTCACATATCTGCTATGCATAGCTACAATATTTTCAGTCACTTTAAAATATATACTAAATTAATATCTGAAATTAAAATGTGCCAGCCCAGAAAAAGTTTGAAAATCACTGCAGTACAGTCAGTCAAAACAAAAAATCAATGAATACTCAATACTTGTACCATAATTCATTAACATCTAGAAATCAAAGTGCTGTAAATATGAAAAATTAAAGGAGAAAACCGCTAATTTTAACATGTGCATTTTATACTCATTATTGTGATACACCTCCAGGGAATGTGCCTTAGAAGTCTACAAAAGTTATTATATATAAACTGTGACATAACAGGTAGTTCCATTGTGTACTGTTTCAGACATCATGCAAAAGACCAGTTTGATTTTGAAAGACTCATTAAAACATTATGGGATCTCAAACCAGGTAAATTATCTTAATCTTTGAAACCAAAATTACTGAAAGAAACAGTCCTCAGTCCTCCTCATGTGGCATCCCGCAGGAAACAGATTGGTGACCCACTGGTTCATAGTTTAGACAAACATTACAGTAGACGTTGGATACTGACAAAGAAGGACTGCGTGAGTTTTCTAGACAGGAGGAGGAAGAAACGGAGGCGTTTTGGCTTTTAAATGGCTGACAGTTGAACGCTGACACTGCTTACTCCTTCTTCTGATTGGCTAGTAGGGAGGCCTCCCATCGCTGTGCCATGGTGTTCTGTCGTCGTGGCACAGAAGAGAGGGAGGGGGGGAACTGGAGGGAGGGGGAGATTCAGCTAAACCACTGGAGCCAAAATGGATGGATAGATGGATAGTTTCATGGTTGGATGGATTATCGGATGGATGGATGATGGATGGATGGGGCAAAAGAGAAATGAACAGAGGATGGGATAGTTGGAGGAATTATTAGATGGACGGATGAATGGAAGAGGAATGGGTAGATGAAAAAATGAGCCCAGTAATGAATATATTTGCTAAATTGTGAACTAATGGATTAAAAAATTAATCAGTCCAACTGATTAACAAATCAGAAAGTTCACAATTAAAAAAGGTAACAAATGAATGAATGAGTAAAGGAAGAAATCAATTACCCAACATGGAAATTGCAAAAGCAAAAATCTGAATATGAATCTCATGCCGAGTACTTATACACAGAGTAATATAATCATTCTAGTATCAGGAAGGACTAGGACTCTGCAATATGACCATTACATCATTACATGATAGATATCGTTTCGTTTTATGCTCTATTGCTTATTTCATTGTGTCGCAAGTAACAGTCTTTATGGCAAGATTTTTGCGTTCTTCAGCATGGCACAGATGCAAACACAAAATCTGCATGAAGGAAGATAAACAGAGTAATTCCAAACAGAAACAAACTCAGACTAAAGACAGCTTGTACCTAAAAGACGTTCTAAATCTGTCACATCGACATGGTTTGTGTATAAAAATAACATCAAATGTAATACCAAATAGGTCTTTCCAAGTGGTTATTCAACTATTCATTTATTGAATTTAAAGAAAATGTGCTATATCATAACACATATCATTATCTGACCTATATCAAGATATGGGATTTTGGTCATATCACACAGCCCTAGGAAGGACAATAAATGTTTGAATAAATATTACTGTAAGGGAATACATATATAAAATATCTAATATATATTTTATATATATATTATTATAATAAAATACAATTGCATTCGTGGACTCTATATGTACAGTATATGTGCTTAAAGCTGCACTCATCAATATATATAAAACAATGGATTAATATGGCCAGAGTTGGTGGAGACCAAAACAGAGCCAAAAGGAGAGCGAATATTGGTCAGGTGAGCTGAAACATGACTTCCAATAAATTATGTTGCTTTGTCTGCTGGATGTGTAACTGTTTGCTGACACATATGGCATAACAACATCACTCTTTAAAGTCAATATGATGTGTAATAAATCGTGTTGCTGGCTTACTACCTGCCCCTATGTGGTAGCAAAACATCAATTCAAGCAGCTTTAAGAGCGTTCAACAGATTTCTTAGTGCCTGACGAAGACGCTTCTAGAGGGTCTAAGGATAGAGGTTGCTGTATTCTGTACATATTGTTATGGCCCTTGAGGCTAATTTGTGATTTGTGATAGTAGGCTGTATAAATAAAATTCCCTTAGATTGACTTCTGCTGAAGCTGACTACTATCAGTGCCTTTAGACATACTTCATTAACTTGGCTACATTTGGCTTTGTCCAGTAAGCTGATTTCTGAAAGCTGCAGTATGTAACTTTAGAAAAATTACTTTTTTATTTGCTTTCACTGTATCCTGACAGTAGTAAATGAGACAGAAGATACTGGAGATAAGTCAAGCACATCTGAGTTTGAAACCTGTTTTGCATCATAATTTGCATTTTAGCCATGGTTATGTTCTTGGCTTAATAATTGTTTGGAATCTTCTTCTTCAGTAGATTTTGATTGATAAGTAGATCAAGTCCTCTTGTTCTAGGATTTCAGAGGCACCATACTGCTAATGTGGAGTACTTTTAAAACTATAATAAACTCCATTAAAGTCCATTAACTGGATATAGATATAAATCGTCAGAATTCCTGTTTACTTTGATACAAAGGCTGCAGCAGGCAACTGTGTCTCCAGATAAATAGATACTGTGTGTGTGTGTGTGTGTGTGTGTGTGTGTGTGTGTGTGTGTGTGTGTGTGTGTGTGTGTGCAGCCAACCTTGTGGTCACAAGACAAACTGGATCTTTCCATTTTGCGGGTCCTAGAGGGGGACGAAGGGGAGGAAACACATCTGTCTGGAACCTCTGGCACTGGAATACAATAAAATGCAACAAAAATACCAGAAAATCAAACCAGAAAAAATAATAGACCTTTTTCACAACAGCCATTTTTACATGAAATAGTTGGATAAACACAGGTGTTACTAACATTAATTAAGGCTCCATTCCATTTAGTGTAGCAGATCCTTTCCAGGAAGCCAACATTCACACTAGCAGCACCCTGACTATGTTTGACCTGAATGGAACCGTAATTAGTATCATTGGTGTTTACCTTACTATTTTGTGTCAAAATGGCTGCTGTAAAAAAGGTTGAGATTATCCCCAGACAGAAACCAAACAAAAATGATTTTCTCATCCCACACACTCTGTCATCCAGTATGGAATATTGTCCTGTACAGCATTGGTGAAAGCACACCATCATCTGCAAACCTTTGGATTATTACGGACACTATTTTGGTTTCACAGCTATAAATTCACAGTAGGGCCACAAAATGGCTGTCACTGATGGCGTGGAGGGGAGTATTAGCTGAATTACAACAGGAATGTTTCTAGGACTCTACGTACCGTTGTAACTGATGCTATCGCTCAGGGCCGGAGACACCAGCACAGTGTCATACCTCTCCCTCCCTCTCCTCCACTCCTCCTCCCTCCTCCTCCTCCACATCTCCTCCCTCTGCCTCCTCCACTCCTCCTCCCTCTGCCTCACCATGCGGATCTCTTGCTCCACCAGCGACTGGCTGCTGAGGGAGCGCAGCTTAAAGAACGGATTCGACGAGAAAGTGCTCTCCTGCGTTTCCACGGACACGGGGGCTGAGCTTAGGCAGAACTCGGAAGCACTGCGAATGATCAGGTTGGAGGTCTCCACGACGATGACGTTCGCGGAAGGCACCGTATCCAGGCTTATGGGCCAATCGGAGAGGCCCCCGATTGCAGAGGAGAGTAGGCGGTTCCTGGAGGTGGAGCTGGAGCAGTCAGGCTCCAGGATGATGACATTATTGGCTGTCATTTCATGGTAGACAGACCGGGGAAGGGAGGAGGAGCAGGAAGGGGATGGAGAGATGGATAAGGTAGGGGTGCGGCAGGCTGGAGGTCTAGGTGGAGATCGTCCTGTTTGCAGAGTGGATGGTCTGAACACAGAACAGAAAAATTGTGAATCTGTGAAAAAAAAAACCCTGAAACCTAAAAATAAGATTTGAAACTGTAAAAAAAAATACAATCTGCAACTGACAAAATTAAGGCCTCAAATATCAAAATATATGTGGAAAAATATTATTTATTCAAAAGAATTCAAGAATCGAATCAAAATCATATTTAAACTAACAAAACTTTTCCTACACTTGCTGTTTATATAGGTGACTGCTTGCAGTTTCCCTGCCATCAGGTGACCAAAAAACCAAACAAAAACTTGGTTAATGCAGCTTCAAATTTGACCATTTCCATTAAAGCTGCAACGATAAGCCGATTAATCAATTAGCAGCCAACTATTAAGTTAATCACCAACTATTTTGATAATTAATTAATCATTTTGAATTATTTATTATGACTAACAGTAAACTGAATATCTTTGGGTTGTGGACAAAACAAGACATTTGAGTAAGTCACCTTAACCCAATCTATTATACTCTTCTTAATGTACCACAAAGACTGCATTGTAGGATTCCACACTGGCACAAGCCTGAAGAGCTCATTTTTGCTACAAGCTCTAGGTGTAGCAGAAGAAAAGCACTGCCATTTCAGTACATTTTTTGTTACCTGGGTATAGTCAGACCCTGTGCAATCATCCCCCTCTCCCTGCGGTGGCGTTCCTCTCTCTCCAGAGTCAGGCGGATTTCTCTCTCCACTGCAGTCTCCGGCTCCTCCAAGGGGCTGCGGTATGACGAGTCATCCAGGCCTGAGTCCTCGGAACTGGGGGACAGGGTGGAGGACAGAGGGGGCTCCCTAGGCACTGGTGGATGGATCTCTCTTTGAGAGGACAGGAGGAAACCCGGCTTGTTAGGATTAACTAAAACTAAAAGACACAAGACTTGTGTTTCTATTTAATTTCATTTTAAATTTTTGGGGACTTTTTTATGGATAAAGTTGTCTCTTCTGAGTCACATGTAGACTATGCTCTTTTTATCTGCCAATTTGGTGATAGAGAGAGGGCTAAAATACAACAGGGGCCCCTATCTGGATACGAACTGAAGGCATTACAGTTGTGTACACCTCCAACACCCCTGTTCTGAGCAGATGGATGGAAATGTCTGACATGACTGCTTTGTACATTTAGGGGAAGTTATCAGCAATTCAGGGCTGCAACTCACAATTATTTTTATTATCAATTCATCTTCTGGACTGCAAAAATCTCCGAGCACTGTGAGAAATGACCATTGTAATCTCTATAAGCCCAATGAGACATTCTCAGATGTCTCGTTTTGTCCAACCAATTGTCCAAAATCCAAAGATATTCAGTTGACTATCACATAAGGCAAAGAATAGCCCTCACATTTGAGAAGCTGGAACCAGATGATATTTTCTAGTTTTGCTTGATAAATGGTGTTAATGATTGTACAATTATTAAAATATCACGTTGAATCACATAATCAACCACTTGATTCAGCTGCACAGCGACACGCTCTCTAATAAAGCAGGAACCCTTACAGGAACTACAGTTAACCCCTTGATTCCAACACACGTTTTCTTTAGAGGTTATGAGAAACAAGTGACCCTCCTGGAAACAAGACAGAAAGGCAGATGCCTTCACTAGTATTTAAAAAACGTTGAAACACAATCAGCTGTATACAAAACAAAAATTTTGCAGTGTAGCGGAATAACAACTTACAAACTTCTCATTTTTGTGTACAAACTTGCAATAGAAACGTATTGCTAAGTCTAAAAATGAGTGTCACTAAAAAGAATTTACTGTTATAAATAAGCAATTTGTATTTCTGTGCCGAGCTGTTTAATTGATTTATTTTTTTATTTGTTTAATTTAAATTACCTACCTGTGTTTGAGTCGAGGGCTGCGAGTTGGGGGGTACAGTGAAGTGTGGGTACCCTGGAAACTCCCCTGAGCTCTTAGCCCTGGTTTGGGGATTGGCTGACCTTTGACCTCCTCCTCCATCTTCTTCCACTGCTGGCGTGCCAACAGAAAGTCCACATGCTCAGTGGAGACATTTTCACTGCGGGTGTCTTGGTGGACACAGAAATCCACAGGAAGCTGATGGAAAACAGGAGGTTCAGGATTAGATTACTGAACATAGAGGTGACTGGGAGACACATACATCATTACAATTAAACAGAGACCAGACAGTCGGCTGTGGCTCAGAGGTAGAGCGGGTTGTCTATTAAGGTTGGCGGTTCGATCCTCTTGCTGCATGTCGAAGTGTCCTTGAGCAAGACACTGAACCCCAAATTGCTCCCGATGCTGTGCACCGATGTCTGACTGTATATGAATGATTAGTTTCCGTTCTGGTGAGCAGTTGCGATGTGTGACAATATGGAAACAATTTACACAGTCACAGTAAGAGAGAAGAAGCAGCTTCCAGCAATGTCAACTAGAACTGGTTGACAACTTATTTGTTGAATTAATTAATTTTGTTTAAATAGCGTTTATTTACTTGCGTTCTATTTGTGAGATGAAAAGATCATGAAAACAAACGACTCCAGCTCCAGACATGTGATTGATATCTATTTTCTCTTCTTACTCTTGGGTGCATAATTATATTTATCCAAAATAGGCCACAGTGTTTTGTTTGTACTTTAATTATGACAGCTTTGTGCACATGCAACATATTCAGTTCATTTTGCCGTAGACACCAATGTTATAAATGACCTTGCATTGCCTTTAATTGATAGTGACCCCTGAAGAGTGACAGGAAGGGGGCAGAAAGAGGGGACGACACGCAGCAAAGGGCCACAGGCCGGAATCAAACCCATGGCTCAACCTTGGAATATGGGGTACCAGCCCCATGTCTCACAATGTTTCACCAAGTTTCATACAAATCAAGAGTACTTCACCATAATCCTGCTGACAGACAGACAGACAGACAAACAAACGGCACCAAACAATAACTTGGCGGAAACCATTAATTGTGTGGCTGAGTGCGAGCTCTCCAGCATGAAAGTCGGATGCGTTCACCACACAACCTTCACACGCTGACTTTGCACCTTGCTACATAAAGGTCACACTACTTCCTGGACTGTGTGCTGCAGAATATCTTAATATGAAGTAATTCCTAGGGTTAGAGTTGACTAGAGTTGGGACTGATCCGATTAAATATCAGAATCAGGTGCTGATAATTCACTCATCGGATATCGACAGATCCAGATTCCATAGTCTAGTTTTAATGTTTTTATGAATTATAAATAACCATCTTGTTGTTAGCAGAAATGTATTTATTAATTTGTAATTAAACAGTTCTAGACGTACAGGCGGCACTTGTAACGTACTTGCGGTCATAATGTAACATGAGACAGTCTGCAACTGAGTGAGCAACAGTTGGCTAACTTAGTTCGGAGATCAAAACTGGGAAAAGCAAGGCAATGTCTTCAGCTCTACAAAAAAAGAGGGGAAAGTCTTACCCTCCTGTCGGGGTCTGTGGAGCTGGTTGTGGAGCTGACAGAAGGAGACCGCATGAAAAGCTCTTCCCTCGACTTCATCTGCTCTTCATCATCATCCCTGCGTCCCCTCCTCTCCTCCTGCTCCTTCTCTACCTCCACTTCTCTCTGCTCCTCTGTTCCAGTCTCTACTTTTCCCTTATCCTCCCCTCTCTCCTCCTTCTCTCCTCTTCTCTCCTCTTCCTTGCTCTCTCCATCACAGGCACTGTCATGGATTCCGCCACCTTCTTCTTCCTGGTTGATGACATCACAGGGCGTGAAGGCTGCCCATTGGTCCTCCCCGGCGTCGCTGTCCGAGTACACAATAGCCAGCTCGGCTTGGAGGCAGTCACTAAGGTGACTGTCGCTAAGGTCGTCTCTGTTGCCAGGGTCGTGACCCCAGGCCTCCTGCAACATGGCTGCTGCAGGCTGCTCTGAAGGGTCTGAGGTGAGGGGCTCTGATGATGAAGGACGCTCTGATGATGAAGGACACACTGGACTGTCACAGATGAAGAGGAGCTCTGCCAGATCGTCTTTCATCTCTCCCTCTGTCTCTCCTAGCCACCCATCCTCTTCTTTCGTGTCTCCTGTTCCAGCAACTTCTCCCTCTGTTTCTCCAATCCCTCCATCCTCACCTTTTATTTTTACTCCCCCTTCATCTTCTCCCTCAATTTCTCTTCTACCCCAATCTTCGCTCTCTGGGTCTGCTTTACTTGCATATTCTCCCTCTATTTTTCCTCTACTTTCATCTTCTATCTCTATTTCTTGTATCTCCATTTCTCCTGTCCCTTCATCCTCTCCTTCTGCCTCTCCTCTTCCCTCATCTCCTCCCTCCTCTCCTCCTCTCTCTGTCTCTTGTCCTCCCTCACTTTCACCTACTTCCTCCCCTCCCCTCTTCTCTCCTATCTCAAAAACAAGATAGTCACACTCATCTCTGTCTGTTTTTTCATTTTCTCTCTCTGCAGCCTCGTCTTCCTCCTGCTCGTCCCTGAACGGCCGCTGTACCCCGTGGACCTCTGGGTAATGTAGTTCCTCTACTTCCTGGCTGTGCCAGCTAACCACGTTTTCTCTTTCCAGTTCTGTAAGCGGTGGTGATGAGCTGATCTCCATGGTAACTGGATCTGTTGGTTGTGTTGGAGTGGGAGAGTCGTCAACTGGGTTATCGTTGTCAGAGCTACCGTTGTCGTGGTTACCGTCCGTTAGCTCAGCTGTTGCCCTCCTTAGCCCAGCTGTGGCTCTCTGTGGACACAAACAAATTTCCATTTTTTAAAATCATCATTGTATAACATGTGAAACAGCAGCAGGGAGCGACGGTTGGTGTGTGTGAGAAGGAGATTAGAGCAGAGAGCTAACGTGAGTCTGTCGTCATCATCTCAACACAAGATTTGGACAATTCTGCACGGGATGTCATGTCCCTGTGTCCGGTCCATACGTGTTCTTGCTTGGTCCTTTGGTGACAGTGGATCACTTTATTTTTCAATGTAAAAGATCATTCAGACTTAGACAGTCCCAAATTTCTGATGTGGTCAAGTCAGACAAGGAATCAGCAGGCCATCTTGTGTTGTAAAAAGGCAAAGACCCACTCTTTCTGACAGAGATGGCTTACGCCATGTATTGCATGTACTGCTCTTGGTGTGGCCTGACATTTGTGGGGAATACTAAAATCGGCAACTCGACCGCACACTTTAAAGATGAAACAATTGTAAAATCCAACAACAGCAATAAGCATGAACTTTGGAAGATTATTTTTGGTTGTTGAGAGTAGTGTACTAGGGCTGCCTCCTAATATTTGACTAAATCATCGATGAGAAGAGTTTAAGTCGACCCACTTTTCCTTAGTTGGATAGTGGCAGAAAACCAAAAACATCAACACTGTGCCTTGTCACAGGGACAAAGGGATCACAGGATTGTTGCAACATGGACCTTTTCTCTTATAAAACAAGACACAGCACTGTTTCATCTGCTAACTGTGCTAGCTGCCATTAGCTACTTAGCGGTCCTATATAACCTGACTCTACCCAGAAGGAAAGGGGGAGGTTTGTTTATTCTACTAGCACAGGAGCTCTGGATAGCCAGGAGCAGGTATTCAAGCCCGGAGCCTACCACAAGGAGCCGAACGAGCCCCCAAAACCAACAGAGGCCAGGTGATTTACAAGAGTTGGTCAGGCTTATGTTTAAAAAAAGAACTATTTAACTCTCTGATTTTTTCTATTTATTACCAAAGCATTTGTTAGTAACACAGTTAAGATGGGAAAATAAATATGAATGTGTTGCACGTCGATTTATGTAGAGCTCCTAAAATTTTCAGTAGGGAAGTTAGTCTGGAGACTAAAGTTCAAGGGGTACTAACATAACATTTTAACATTGAAATGATTACATTGTGACTATTTAAAGCTCCTACAAGGTACTTTCATTTTGTGTTGATTCTGGCAGCCTCTGTGGATAAAAGCGGAAGTGTTTCTACCGCCTTGTTTAATTGATTGTATGGGGAATCTGACCCGCTGGCAGGCATTAAGAATAGGCAATCTTCTCTCTGTTGGTCTTGTTTGTTCATGTGGTCATATAGAGGCATCAGTATTCAACTGAGACTGTTTCATAACCAGTTAAAAATTCCCTTTTCATAGGTTTAAGTCCAAAGTATAAGATTCTTTTATTTTAATTTTAATTTACATGACTTAGAATCTTACAATTTTGATGAAGAACGCCGACCTAGAACAAGGTTTGACAACTACTGGACTCAACGTGAGTATTTATTTTTAGCATTTGTGACTATTCATCATCTTTTCTTCTTGATGACAGGAACAGGCTTTCATAATGTTTTTTATTAACAATACTATGCATACAAATTGTTGTTTTATGCTTCTCTCTCATCACATATTGGTATAATAGAGATTCAACCTGAAAAAACCTGCTATATTGCCTTATGTAAGAAACATTTATTTGGAAATATATACGAAACAGGATCATTCGTGTAAGTTACACCCAACACACATACATTTCTGTGCGCATATAGACACACTCATATACACACACCCACACACTCTAGAGTAGATTAAAGCAGTGTTTATTCCCTGTAAGAGTTTGATAGGCTACAGTGAAGCCTTCATATCGTTACCATGGTGGCAATGCGTTGGCTGTGAGTGGGTTTGCAGATTATTATGGTCTGTCATTCCAGGCATGTGCTGGTGACAGACGGGAGGTGTTGCCATGGTAACACTAAGTATAGATGCAGAAGCAAGCTGGTAAAGTCACTTCTCTTTCAGTAAAGTCACAATGTGTGGAGAAAGATCAGATTCATCAGCAGTTCTCAGTTACACGTGCACTCCTTAAGCTGCATACGTTATATTAATGTGATGAGATAATAGATGTATATAAGTTTAACAACTAAAATGTGAAAAGTGTACAAATATTTATCCATGCTTGCTAACCTGAAAATATACTCACAAACCCAGGACCTAAAATGACTGCAGAACGCAGCACAGCCTCAGAACAGAGGACTAAAAGAAACCCTTTATCATTAGTAAAGTCTCATAAACAGAAACCCTGAATGATGCTTTTTAGAGAGTCTATGTAGAGTCTGACTGGTTTCTAAATGTACAAACTAGGAAACAAAATGTGTTATCTGTATTTATTCTTCACTAATCCAGCGTTAAATCATTTCACAGCAATTAAAGTTGTGCCACCATGGTCCCCCCATGTTTAAAAAAAATGCTGCAAAAGTGCCCTCTTGGATGCCCCTATGGTAGATAAAACATAATAAAGAGAAGTGAAGAAAATGCTACGAAGCATTTCTTCACTGGTACAAGTGCTCTCTAGGTTGTCCTTCCAGTGGACAAAACACAATAAAGTGCCCTCTAAGGTGCCCTTCTAGTGGAGAAAACATAGTAAAGTGCCCTCTAGCCCTCTAGCTGTTTCACCATAAACGTATCACATTTTATTTTTTCACCTCATGGCCAACATCATTATAGTGGACTTCCTACAGTTGGTTCTTCAAACTATGGAGGAAGGGTTCACCCAGCACTTTGTATAAATTGATTTTGCCTAGCACTGAATTTCTAGACCTCAGTTAGCTGTGACGGCATGGCACAATGGCTTCTTGGAACAGCCGTCATTTCGAGTACATGCACAGCCCATGATTAACCGTTCTCCACATCAGCATGAACCCTTTCTACAGTTGACTGGATGAAAGCACCACTCACTGGGCTGCCATAAGCCTTTGCTTGAACTTTGACATGAGTCATGAGCCACAATGCCCCAAAAAGTGGTCATACAAAAACCACAAAATCAATGTTTTTGTTCTTCTGTTCCAAAAAGACCCACATTTCAGATTCAACTCAATTCAATTTTAATTGTATAGCGCCAATTCATAACAGAAGTTATCTCAGGACACTTTTCAAATAGAGCAGGTCTAGACCGAACTCCTTATAACATTATTTACAGAGACCCAACAATACCACCATGAGCAAGACCTTGGCGACAAAGGCAAGGAAAAACTGGCGATCTGGCATCACTTTCACTAGGACGATTATATGTATGATTATTTCAAGTGTTCTAATCTCCCACATCAATGGTTAAGATCTATTTAGGTTTAAACAACTAAAACTACTTTGTCATGTTTCAGAAAAGACTGTGGTCATGGTTAAACGAAACCAACAACAACATTCCACAAGCTGAGAATCATGCACTTTTAGGTTAATATGTGAGAGTAAAAACGCTAATATAGCAGCCAAGAACTATAGCAATGTAAAGATATAGTATGTATATGTAGATATAGTGTTCTGAGCAGAGAAAAACATCACATTCCCTCTGCCTGTGTTGCTATCACAGCCTCTCTATGGTTTTTTTAAAAAGCCACTGGAGGCTGGTGGCGTGTGATAGTGATATTACGGCTGTTGGTGGTTAAACAAAAGGTCTGTCTCTGTAGGGATCCATTCCTTAATGTTGTCAGACACATAAAAATCTGAGCCTGTCTGAGCACTTTTAATAGATGTACTTTGTCAGAAGCATTTGTGTCCAAGGCTTAGCTAATGTTACATAGAAGCCTGTTTTGCAGGTATTTTCTCATCTAACTTGGTGAATTAAGCATTTATTTCAACTAAATAATTCTTGGTGATTTCTGGAAAGACAGTGGAAAGACAAAGACAGTTACAGTGAATTCCATTTTGTTTTCATCCAGTTTGAAGTGTGTTTTACAAGTCTGGTCTGCCGTAATGCCCATTGTTTTAGTCTGAGATGCTGGTGCTCCAGTGCGACATCTAGTGGCAGTTGAATTTCACCTTCAACAGTCACTCCCTTGTCCACTGACTTTCCCAAGTGAAACATACACTAAATAGGCCTCCCTCTCACATAACCTATAATTGCAGAAATAGTTGGTTGTGATTATCATTCTCACTTATACAGGTAGTGAAATAAATGACATTCAAAGCAAAAGTACATATGCAAACAGGATTGGTGAGCAGACATTCTGAGCATAAAACATGAAACATTCACATTTCCATCTCTAGATGTATGTCCAGACAGTGTGTTAGGTGCTTCTGCGGTCCTTCAATCAATTCATTCTCAACATAGCCTGATCTTCAATTCTTCAGATGAGTCAGCATATGTGGATGGATTGGAAAGTTATTAGTTGCGCAGCAGCTCTCAACTCTAATCCCTGTTTCTGATCACTGCCTGCCTGGATTTGAACCCGCGACCTTTTGGATTATTGGCAGACCTCTCTAACCTCTGTCCATCACACAACTTCATTTTGAACTTCATTTATTATGAAAGCCAGCCGAATGAAATAGCTTGTAAAGTGAATGGTCTCAAACCTCTGTTTGCCCCCCCCCCATCAACAGCTGGAAACAGCATCATTTAATCAGACACCTCTTAATGTGTGTGAGTGTGTGTGTGTGTGTGTGTGTGTGTGTGTGTGGGAGGATTACAGAGCAGCTTTAGGCATCATGTGTTTTATCAAAGATGAGGAATAAGTGAAGGCGTGCTGCCTCATCAGTAACATTCAACAATTCATTATTCTATTCTGTAATATTTTATTCTACGTTGTATTCAATCATATCTGCCGGCCTACATTTCTTTCTGTTCTGTTGTATTCTTTATCATCCAGTGTAGTTACATTGTAATGGTAATATTATATTCTGTTCTGACAGTTCTGTGCTATGACTACTGAGCCAAGTGTCTTATATAAGACAGCATCTTAAAATCGGGCAAAGCACCAAAATCGTGACAGATAAGCGCACATACAGAAGCCAAGAAAACCGGGCTCTGGTGGTAGCTCGAGCTAAGCCAAAAAGCCTCGCGCATATACACCTCGCGCGTAGGCTACGTGGTGGCCACCAAAACCCGTCCCCAAATCTCCACCGCACGAGGAGGAGGAGGCAATAAACCCGGGGGAAAAAAGTGTCCTTGTTTATTATTAAGACGTTGTTGACGTGTGTCGCTGATTTGTTTATTTACCTACCAACAGCTTCCAGCACAGCAGCCAAAACGAGATCATCTCCAGGCGGCCGCGGCGCGCGCATTCCTCTCCACCTCTCCCCAACGGTAGCGCGAGCAGCCAGGCGGCCACCCGCTGGCGCGAGGAGGGACGCATACGAGCTAGCTGACGGCTGCGGCGCGTGTGTGTGTTTGGTGGAGAGAGGTAGAGAGTGAGGAGAGAGTGAGGAGAGAGAGAGAGAGAGAGAGAGAGAGGAAGGATATATCGACCTGTGCTATTATGTTGCTGGTGAATTAGAGCAGAAGAGATAAATCTGTATTGGCAGACTGTTGTACATCTCTCTCTCTCTCTCTCTCTCTCTCTCTCTCTCTCTCTCTTTCTACTATATCCCTGCCTCTCCCACTCTCTCTCTATCTGCCATCCCTCTACCTGCACGCGCATGCTGCATCCGGTCGCCCCCCCTCCAGGCTCCAACATTGTGTAAATGATAGCTGTGTGGGCTAGGCCTATTGGGATGTAATATTCCATGAATTCATGGTTTGATTGGATGCTTTATGGTTACATCACAAGTTGGTACAACAATTTACAGTGGGTATCAGATTTAAAGCTGCAGTAGGTCACTTATAAAAAACCTTTCAGTAATATTTGCGGAAACTTTCACTATATCCTGACAGTAGCACATTAAACACATAATGTGGGAAAAGATCAGGTTCCTCTGGCTCCTCCTAGTGCTCCTAATGGTATTTGCGAGAATCAACCAGGTCTGAACAAAAACAACCAATCAGAGCCAAGAAAGACAAAAAGACACTTTGCATTGGAGGCTTGAAGAAAGTTGATTGTTGAGTCTCATTTCCAGCATCTGTATATGACACCCCAGGAATGAGACTCAACAATCAACTATCTTTCTTGTCTATGATTTGTTGTTTTCATTCAGGCCCGGTGGATTCTTACAAATAGGCTACCATTAGGAGCACTAGGAGGAACCAGAGGAACCTGCTTTTTTCACAGATTATCTGTCTCATGTGCTACTGTCAGGATATAGTGAAATATAATATCTCATATAAAGAGACTACTGCAGCTTTAAAGCAGTATTATATTTGAGACTCTGGAATGAAACAAGCTGTTTTCTGCGCCATATTAAAATCAAGAGAAATGTTGTATCTTCTGGCTGCACAATTCATCAGATTTAAATTTAGATTCCGACTAACAAATATAATATGTCAGCTGGTAAAAAAACCCAATAGAGCTCACATTGTTTGTTGAATCCAATACAGTAGGCTGTCATACAGGCCAATATCTGTCACTGTATAATTTGGCATGCTTTCAGTAAATATTGATGCATCAGTTTTTGTGCTTCTTCACTCATAGCCCAGGGTGCGCAGTTTTCCGGACAGCGGGTCAATAAGGCAGTCTGCTCACAGCATGCGACACAAAGCAAAGTCACTGCTCAGTGAAATGGAAAAAAAGCAGCAACATACTTCAGCTCAACAACCAGGACACTGTAATTTAAACAAATCATGCAGCAAAGTTCAATTTACCATATCCTACTGTATTTTACCTCTCTTGTTGAGTATGCAACCATAGAATCCTAAAAAAAAGAGAGAGTTCATTTTGTGCCAGATAAATAAGACAAAGACTTGTTTCTCACTTGTTATAAAGAGTTCGGTCTAGACCTGCTCTATTTGAAAAGTGTCCTGAAATAACTTCTGTTATGAATTGGCGCTATACAAATAAAATTGAATTGAATTGAATTGAACTTGTTTTACTAACGTTGGACGTTGATGAAAGAAAATAATGTGTATATATATATATATGTTAGTTACGCTAGAGCCTCTGAAATTCACTTTGATTCCTTATACGTAGTTAATAATTTTTTCATACAGGGATTCATTTTGTTACTTTAGAGCAATTCAAGACAGGTGCATGCTGGGATTGTAAAAACTACAAGATGTTAGTGCTTGTAGTGTGGTCCGCAAATTTGGCTCGTTTATTAACAAGGTCAGCATTGGAGCTGCAGCAGTGGCCCCTCCCCTCCCGTATGAGTAGCATATCCATAATATGCTTCTGACTGAGTACTGTATGCATAATTCTGATATTTTACACTATGTACTATTCATATAAATCAATAACAATAAGATTTTTTATACAACTCACCTATTTAAATTATATTAAGGCTTAACGTTATGCATAATTAGGCATGGCCGCTTTGAGTGACAGGTACGTCAACTTGTACGTCAAAGGTCTCTTCACCTCTGCCATTCGCCATGTCCATAGAAACTGCTGAGCCAGGCCGGTTACATTGACCACTCATTCCGCTCCAGTCCTCTGGTTCTAGCACAACTGGCACCACTCTCTGACAGCATTCCTCCCCCTGTTCCAGACCTAAAAACTTCTCCCACAGTCCAAAGCTCCGGTCCACCAATACTCCCCTGGTGTTCTGAGCACCCAGTCTCAGCCGTTAAGCTAACTTGTGTTAATGGCAAATGGGCTGCATTTATATAGAGCTTTTATCCAAAGTACTATGCCATTTGCAATTTGCTAACCATTCATACACACACACACCAATGGCAGTGAGTTACCATGCGAGGAGCTGGTCCGACCATCGGGAGCAATTTGGGGGTCAGTGTCCTACCCAAGGACACTTTGACATGGAGACAGGATGAGCAGAGATTTGCGATTAATGTTTGCGAACAAATTGCATCCTTGTCTCAGGCTCAATAAATCATTGGCCTTTACTGTATGAGACCTTTACCTTTTTCTTTCATACCTTCCTCTTTCACCCCTTCTCCCCCTCCTTTCCTACATCCTTTCATTTGTAGTTCCCCCTCCTCCACCTATGTCATTCCTTCCATCATTTGTAAAGGAACTATTTACAAAACATGTCAAAGCATTCTCGCCATTGTTGCAGTAGAGACGGATGAAATGAAATGACCCTGCTGGCGTTCGATTTGTGACCTTTCACATTGACTGACAGACTGTTATGTCATCTGTGTGTGAGCGAGAGTTTGTGAGCTAGGTGAGCTGAGGTAAGGTTCCAGTGTCTGAACACCAGCTCACATCTGGCTGAACAGACAAAACACACAAGCACACACGACAAAGCTCTGGGTGCCAGCCACCCTGAATAAGTACAACAGATTAGGGAGAGACAGACAGACAGATGAACGGGAGGAGATGGGGACATAGAGACAGACAGGAAGAGAGAGAGATGAGTGCTTCTGCCATCACTATGAGAAGCAAAACCCAGATTTGACCTTCAGATACAAAATCATTATTGAACTGCCTCCAAACTAGACTGTTGATGTAATGACTTTAATCTGGTGACAATCTGCCCTTAACCCTTCATAGTAAATCAAATCCTCACAGTGCACTGGGAAGATCTGGGACTGTCTTTAAATACTCTGTAGATTGAAATTTATAGCAAAGTAATACTCGGGATTGCAGTACATGGTATCATTATTGGACCAATTGTGAAAGTGAATTGTGTCCCTGAAGTGTGTCGTATAAGCAAGTCTAAAAAGACAAGGCTGTGCCAGGATCAGGACCAAGACATTTTTATTATGAAATAATAAATATTTAATTAGTTCAATGGTAAAAGTGGATTAAACCAGTGTGTAACATTTAGGAGGCTCTATTGTCAGAAATGGAATATAATATTCCTAGTTATGTTTTCATTAGTGTATAATCACCATATATAGGAATCATCGTGTTTTTGTTAGAATGAGATGCTTTTAGTAGGAATACACAATATGGATATTTTTTTGGTTTTCGATAACCGATAATTACTTGCTTAGCCAAATTTTCGTGCATCCCTAGTTTCTATCTACAGATGTGGTGCTGGTTTTTACCTGTCAAAAGGCAGAACACCTGTTGACTGATCGCTGATTAGAGCATGACTCAAACTAAATGAAAAAATATTGTATGATATTCTGATTTGCTGCTCTATCAACAGGATAATAATATTTGTCAGTGAAATATATGGTACTAGGACCTTGGTATTACTCACAGGGCTAGTTGGTAAACTAGTACAGCTGGTGAGCTTTCTGCTAACAGAAGCTAGTTGGGAATATGGTAGCATTATTCAGTCTCAATAGTTTTTTTTAAATTCTTTCAATTTTTTCAGTAATGGGCAGTTTACTCCCCCCCGCTCCATCAACCGCTGTCTCATAACTGTCTGTAAAACATTATTCTATAGCAGAATGAGTCTAAAACCCCAAAAGGAGTTAGCATTTTAGCATTTTGCCTCAAAGTCAGGTTTACAAGATTTGATTAAAAGTTGGAAGTTTAGTGGTGGTGACGTGGAAGTAATGCGACCCTGGTGTAGTTGGTTTATAGTTACGTTAGATTTTTACATTTACTCTTCAAAAATCATAAAAGTGGTGTTCATTTGTGAAGATTATCTTGCTGAGCAAAACATATAAATATCATAAACCTTTGTTGGCCACAGAGATTATTTTCTGCAGTAATCCAAAATCCAGGTTGGCCTACAAAAATACATCGTCCCTGAAGCACTCTACTGTGGAGCAGTTCAAAAAAGTGGATGCTGCAACACAGCCAATGAGCTACGATAGCTTACTAGATAGACTTTCTGGCTCTCCATTCCCTCAAAGGTCAGCACTGTAAAGACTGCTCACTATTGGTCAACAGCGTAACAAATCTTCAACTTAAGTAAAATTGACACAAATATTTGTTTCACCCAACCCAATGAGAAATCCACTGATTGCTGCGATTCCACTGACATGCAATGATTTTGCCACAAAGTTTTGGAGTTGTTGTTTAACACGACTTAATGCTGTTGTATTTTATGTGAGGACACAAAGAGAAACACAATAGGATGTTTCCTCAGCAGACATTTTAACGTGTTAAATAAAAACAAAATCAGGTTTTAAAAAATACTAATGGTGGCCATGCTAGTTAGCCCATATTCACAATACCATGGGCTTGAACTGGCACACCTGCATAGAATGGAGCTGTTATTTGTTACACTGATGCTTTTCTTATACTCTGAAATGCCTGCTGCTGGGGAAAGACCTATTTGAAGATAAATATCTGCATAAGTGGGAGAACAGACACAAACGTCATTGGGTGGTTGCTTTCCATTCTGAAAATTTTACTTCCTGCTTCCCTTGTCAAACGTTATGTAACAGCAGACTAAAGGGAGGACCTGAAAAAATACCATAATGATATAATGTGACTGATTCATATGCTATGGCTTTCAAAGTCACTTGATCTCAACCCAACTCAACATCTATAGGAGATTTTGGAGGGACGTGTTGGACAATTCTACGAGAATCTACGCTTTTTACATTTATCTTTCACCCATTGGTATGTCATTTCAGAGGTCACTTACTGGATCAGATTGCATTTTTAATAAAACAGCCCCATATATGGGTGTAAACCTGCCTTCATGTGATATACCAAAATGTCTTTACTGTGATTCCATCGCAT